ATGAGTATAAGCATGCATTAACAATATAAGCAAGTTATAAGTATTAAACATACTGTTAATTCTAATATAATTCTAATACATGATCAAAAGATCGTATCGTAATGCAGTTCTGTTTTTCAAGAAAACCTTAGCTCCTTCTTTCTATAATTAATGCAGAAATCCCAAAAGTATTTTAACGCAGTAAAATGTGACCACTGAAAATATACTTTAGTTAATTAATAATAATGCTAACTTCAATAATAAACCTTTCAGTAAATAGTCTTTGCCTGGAATTCATGATGATTAAAATATTATTCATTCCAGATTTGTAAAGGTTTCAAAACGATGAGCAAAATATATATTGCTAAATTGAAGGACTCTTCCTTCAGACCTTTCAGCACCAGATCTGTATAAGTTTAGAAACCATTAAAGCAATATTCTTAAACCTTAGAAATTATATTAAAAAAAAAAACTGTGCTACCTCAACCTACCTCTGACTTCGTTTAATTTTTTTTTCCAGCAGATCACAAAAGGGGCAATGTATTTTTTGATTATTGTTCTTAACTAACATATAAGTAAAATTAATTCCCGGATATTTGGTAACGATACTTTCTTCAATTTTATTTTTCAACAATACTTCAAACTAGACTAAAAAATTCGTGTTTTTAATCTTTAAAGGGAAAAATCAGTCACTAAATCACACAGTGATTAATGTGGATAAAGGGGATCAGTCACTAAAATGGAGAATCCGTCACTCGGTTCTATTAGAAAAGCATTTCTTTACCAAATAATTACTATGCTAAAAAGAAAATTTTCTAGGACACCTTTTTATCCCATTATTTTGATAACTGCTTTTGATATTGTGATGTTTCTAACTACTTTATCTATGCTTCACCAAAGCTGTATGTATGTCTCTTAAAATAGCTTTGTGCTTGACATCGTAGAAACCTAGTTGAACTATGTGACGACTCATCGCTGAGTCAGAGTACATAAACGGCAAAGTCCAGAAAAGCGTTAAACTCACTCTTTAACTTTAAATAATAAATAAGAATGCAGATGACCCCTTTCTCGGGCTTATATAGAAGCTTCCACTTAGGCTTTGAATCAAGATAACAAATAAGAAACTAATCCAATGCAAAACTAAAATGAACTTAGCTGAAGTTGTACAACATTATCTAACGTAGTTAGCTCTTAATTAAATTAAACGACGAATATCAGCATGTACGCTTAATACTGCCGAGCGTAGTTACTTCTAAACAACGAAGCAATTTGATGTTAAACACGCGCCACTATTTATTTCTAAGCTCCTCTCTTGAAGTAAGAGAAACCTTCCTTTAAATACTTTGTTTACCTCATTTACATGTAACGAAATACTAAAAATTTATTCTGGCAGGGAATAGTAGGTGGGAAACGAGAACAAAAAGTAAAGAGTGTTTTAAAATTAAAATAACTGTTAGAAATTTAAAATAATCCCTTACAGTATTCTAAGGCAAAACCTTTATTACATTTTTATTCATTATGTTAGAGCTGTTGTAATGTTTCGGACAGAAAGAAGGGTGATTCTAAAACATTATGCTGCAGACCCACCTTTCTATCTATCCCCATATCTGAATTATATGTTATCAAAGTTGGCAAGCTCATTTTGGAACAACCAGTATATGACAGATTTCAATCTGCCATTTTATACTTGTATTGGAAAATCTCAAAAGAAGCATCTGAAGCGGGAGCTTAAGAAAGATAAAATTAACGACTGAAATTCCTACAACAGATAACTTTAAATTATACCTGTTTTATAGGTATTGTAATTTCTAATTTTCAAGTATTTTATTAGATGAAGCCAACAAAACAGCTTCAAAATTTCTGCATTGCCACATGTCCCACATCACGCTTGGTGTAGTTCATACAGTTTCACTTCCAATATCAGTAGTAAACGTATGACTTCTTTTTATCTTTTTTTCCTTTTCTAACGCTGCATGATCTTGGTTGAAAGTTAGTTGCACCAGAGACAGATAGCTCTCGTGCACTTAAATTAATCTTGAACGCCACCATTCAAAACAAGAGTTCAGTAGTTTTGTTGTAGTGGAATAAATATTGAATAGGATTTTTATGAAATCAGCGAAAGAAGACATTCAGAATATTTTAAAATCTTCCAAGAAGGAAGAAAGAAAAGGAGCAATTTCTTTTAAACTCCTATAGATATGTCATGGGCATTTCCCGTATTTTATACATTTTAAGGAAAGTTCCATATATTTATATGATACTTTGTTTTATGCAGTGCAGCATAAATAAATTGATTGGTGAATATATCATGCATATATCATTCATATTGGCGAATATATCATGTATATATCATTGATACTGGCGAGTATATCATAGATTATGTCCTTAATATGAAGGAAGACTGCTTTTAAGCCTGTTTTCCAAGAATTCGCTGAAAAATGTTTCCTGTTATGTGTTCATTCGACGAAAATATTGACACATTAAAATCTATGCTAGTTGTGAGAACAAAAATGGGTCCTTTCAATTAATACATCTGATGAGAATTGTGTAGCTACCTCAGTGCCTGTGGCCGAGGTAAATAATGACCTTTTTAAAACCATGTTGGTTCAAAGAATGTCCATTATAATAAGTAAATGAAAGATAAAAATCTTTATGTCTGATGATTTTATCGGAAAAATATCGATGACGCGATCCTGGTGAAATACAGTCCACATCGCAAGTCTGCTGAAGTTTTCATATAGGTTTCTTTAAAAGATTAATAAGTTCAATATTTTTCGTCTAAAAACATTTTCTAACTTCTTCCTTCATCATGATGAACCCTCGCCTTTGCGATCTCAATTTTTGGTTTTGTGACAAGGAAGACGATATTTATTACACATTTGTTAATTGCATCCACTTAATATTATAAAGCGAATTGTATTAAATATTATTTCCTTCACCTTTGGTACTTCGTCTTTGCAACAGAAATAACAGATGTATGTGCGATTGCGTTTTAATAGTTTACTTTCCCTGGTAATGTTCTAAAAATTCAATAATAAAATAAAACACCTTTCTATTAAGAACATGTAGTGAATTTGAGTTTCAGAAAGCAACAGAAATAACAGATGTACTTTGCTTTGCGTTTTTAATAGTTACTTTCCCTGGTAAGTTCTAAAAATTCAATAATAAAATAAAACACCTTTCTATTAAGAACATGTAGTGAATTTGAGTTTCAGAAAGCAGAGCCTCCTTTTACTCTGTATCACGTGAAGAATATCAGTAAAACAAAAAGTTGAAAGTAAAAGTCAGGTGGCCGCCATCAGTCGACGAAAAAGGTAAATGTCTGGTCGAAGGTCCAAGTCAGTGAACTGAAGAATCTAGTATAAGTAAATAATGTTAAGGGTGGAGAATGTCAGATGGATATTTGTGCTTTTCTGTGGGAAATGGAGAACATCTAAGAGAATTGATACAGTTAGGATGAGCGAGAACTGAATAGAAGAAATTTCTGGCAAGTTTTTTAATATAATATTTAATTGTATCAACTTTGAGATCACGGTGGATATACGAATTTGGAATGAACCATGGCGCGTTGATAATCTCTCTGAGTGTTTTGTTTTGAAGAACTTGGATGTGTTGAAGGGGAGTTTTTGCAGCGTGGCCACAGACAGAACTAGCATAGAGTAATGCTGGTTGAAGTATAGATTTATATAAGAGTAGTTTATTTAAAGCGGATATGTGACTTCTTCTGCCAAGAAGTGGGCGCATAGTTGCAAACGTGATATTGATTTTTTTCACAGTTTCCCTGAGATGTTTCTGAAAAGTCAATTTTTTATCAAGAACGACCCCTAGATATTTAGCTTCGTCAACCCAGTCTATTTTTTCATCAAACAGAAGAGGTCTAAGTGAAATGAAATTTGTTTGGCCTTTGCGAAAAATTATTGCTTTTGAGATTTCGGTATTAACTGCAATCCTCCAAAGAGTGAGCCAATTTTCTAGATGATTGAGGTAATGTTGAGAAAGGAGCCGGATATCAGTAACAGTAGAAGCTTGAGTCATAATTTCAGTATCATCAGCGAAAAGAGCAATGGTAATTTGTGGGTCCAATGGAATATCATAAATGTAAATGTTATGTAAATATGGAGAAAGTACAGATCCTTGTGGCACTCCAGGGAAAATTTTTTTCTTGGAAGTAACAGAATTGCCAATTTTCACTGCAAAGATTCTGTCTTGAAGATAGGAAGCAGTAAGTCTAATAGAATGATCGGGGAAGTTTAACTTGATAAGTTTTTATTTAAGTCCCCGGTGCCATACCCTATCAAAAGCTTTCGCAATATCAAGGAAAATGGCTCCCGTAGGGAGCTTAGAATTGAAACCGTCAGTAATAGTTGATGACACGAAGCAGCTGGTGATTAGTACTGTGAAGATGACGGAAGCCAATCTGTTCTTCAGGAATGTAGGAGATCTGTGGAATAATTTGATTAAGATGATTAAGAATAACTTTTCAGCTATTTTAGAAAGTTGACTGAGAAGGCTGATTGGGCGGAGTTCTGGGGAAACGTTGAATTTTGATGCGGTTTTGGGAAAACGACGATGATGGCATGTTTCCATATATTAGGAAAGTATGACAATTTGATGATGGAGTTGATTATCTTAGTAAGACAAGTGATGGCATTGATAGGAAGATGTTTCAAAGCTTTGGTAGAAATACCATCAACACCAGGAGCTTTTTTGGGTTTTAAGGAGCTTATGTAATCGGCAACCAGCTTAGGCGGGGCAAGGAATGTAAAGTTCAAAGGACCTGGGATTTTTTAGGAAGGTATTAACAGTATCATTAATTTTGGAGATATGATTGTTGTCGTAGGGGGTAGTATTGAGAGTAAACGTTTCTTCTAGTATATCTGTAAACGTGTTAGCTTTATCTAAAATTCGTATTCATAATTTCAAACTCAAAAGTACTCCATCGGCTTTAAAATTAATGCTATGTCTCCAAACTTCCAATTATTTATTATTTATTCATACTCACAGATTGGCAACACCATTTTCTATTAAATAATAAATAAACATGGCGCCAGTGATGTTGAAAAAACCGGTAGCAACTACTCCAGTTTTTCCTGAAACATCGGTTGAAGTATTATCCATTTATGATACTATTATATTGCTTTGATTTAAATATTTCAAACTGTTGTACAATATAATATGTCTGTAATGTGCATGTTATATGTCATATGATACATTGCTTTGCTGCAAACTAAAAATGCTTAAGAAATGAAATTGTAGATATGAACTGATGCATATCAATCAACCTTGAATGGTAAATCATAAATACCGAGATTTCTAATTTATTTGCTTGATGTAGCCTATTTGATAATTGAATTTCTTATTCCAAACAATTTCTAAATTATGAAAAAGATTTTTAATACACTGCCCTGCGAAAGTTAATAAGTATATACATATACATATTTAATGTTCAAATACAGGGCTTTCTAAAATAATTTTTCTTATTTAAATTATTAATTTATATAAGATATAACCTTTTTGTATAACTTTATTGCCTAGCTATACTATCTTAAATGCACAGAGAGATATTGTATCTAAAACTGCATATGGAATTTTAACTAACATCTAGTACTTGCTAAAAATACTTATCATATGCATATTGATGATTTTGTTAAAAAATATTCTCAGACTGCTGATATTAATTGTAAGTCGCAAAACATCATTCGTTTATCAAAGGAAACGTTAGCAATTTAAAATACAACTTTGAATTATTAAATGAAAATTTATACTACTTAGAAATTAGCACAACTACTTTGATGCAGTTTGGCAATTTTTTATGGGAGAAAAAGGTGATTTGATGAATTTTCGTGTTGAAACTTGCAATGAATATGATTTCCTAAAAGAACATACAGTACAAAGTCTGTAATCCAGACATCGATTATCTGGAATGATCTATAATCCAGACCTCAAAACCACAAACTTTACGCATGGCGCGTAGAGAATGCGCATACATTACACATGCATGCATTGAAAGAAATGTTTACTAAAGTAAACAAATAAATATTAAGCTTATTTTTGTAAAATTTGATACCCTTTAGATCATAATTGCTCTTTATTTCATAAATTACGGTTTCATATTTTTTATTGTATAATTTCTGCATGCCATCTTACCAGATTTAAATTGATGATCTATAATCCAGAAAAACCCCTAATCCAGAATCGCCGAAGTCCCGACGAGTCCGGATTATGGACTTTGTACTGTATTATGTGCATGTTCGCCAGAGTTTGGTAATTTCAACTAAGGTGGTTGCAATAATACATAAGTACTGATTATATGTTATATGATACATTAAGTATTATATGATATGGGAAACATTATACATATAAGATACATTACTGACCTTCTTCCCATATACACCGTGATATGTTTTTGCTTTAAAAAAGTCAAAGAATTACACAAACTCGATGTTGCTTACAACATTGGCATTGCATACATTAAACATATGTGTTGTAATATTAACACATATGTTTAATGTATGCAATGCCAATTATGAATTAAACATATGTGTTGTAACATTAAACATTACTGTTGTTCTTCACATATATGCAAAGATATCTTTTCACTTTTCACTAAACATTGGTATTCTTTGGGTTTCGGGGGGAGGGGATCAGAATCAGAAATGTATATATGTGTGTCTATGCACACACATAGGTGTGTACATACATATATGCATGCATACACGAACACATACATCCATGCATGAATTCCTGAATCCGATCTCAATAACAGAAGAGTACTAAAAATTGCTCAAACAAAAGACCACTGTATGTTACCAATTATAAATTATGGTACTTCCTTTTTTTATGGTCTTCAGATTTTCAGATGTTAAATTGGCAGCTGGATTATCACCAAGTTCATGTTTACTTCTCGTATACACTTTGTAGTTGTATTATTTCTGCAGTTACCTTTAATATGTCATTAGAAGCATTTTTTCATCCCATGAACTTTAGCTGCATGAACTGTACAGGCTAAGACTTATGATAATGGCAACTGTGCCTCACTGATTTTTATTCTTCTTATTATTTAACTGTGCCTCACTGATTTTTATTCTTCCACTTAGTGGAATGGCACAGTCTTTCAACATTTTGTATATGAGTAGCTGTTGTTGGATGAATGTTCCAAACTTTTTCAGGTTTGCTGACTTTCTTTTAGGCTGTCAGATTAGATGTTGGTAATACAGCTCTTTCATAAAATTCGTCTAGTCGGTAGTTGTATTGTACTAAGGACTGAATGATTTCTCCCACCACTTAATCAACAGTAAGTCATCTGCTCAACAGTAAACAAATTGCTGTACTGTTACAAGCAGTATTCTGAAACACTTAACTAGTTGTCAAAAGGCATGCTTTTCTGTGACTTTGCATATACCAAATGCTTTCATTAAGATATAATTTTTTTTAATTTATGTGTTTACATATTTGAGGAAGTAAAATGTGTTTTTCTTGGAAGAAAGAAGTGGCATGTTCCTCGCTTCTTGGTTAACAATCATGACAGTGTGGTATTACCCACAATGTTAGCTGTTCATAAACTTCTAGCCTTTTGTTTAATCATTCTGCTCTAGTATCCTTCTTATTCCTTTAATCTAGCTTCTAATAATATTTTTAATGTTTCCCAGAATTGAAATGATGTTACTGGATTAGCATTTAGGAAACATGAGAAACACCAATAGCAAAGTGATGAGGTGATTGAAAAATGCAGGTTTATCTGAAATACACTATCACATTTTCTCTCAACATTGACAAAAGTGCCTTAATAACAGAGGCAATTATGTCAAGTACAGAACTGTGGGTATATCTGAATAAAGGCATAATTATTGCATATTTTTTCCTTTGAAATTTATGGAGAGACTGCACAGTATGTGAACATTTTAAATATTCAAAATACATCCAAATTCTGTGCGAAAGACTAATAATTTTCTATCTGTCACATGGTCTCTAGTTATGTTTTGGCAGAAGAGTGATTTCTAAATTAGTACAGAGAGGAGTGAAAATAGATTTTGTATTTGGCTTTGAAATAAATAGAGTATTTAATTGGTTAGATTTTCAGTGAAAGAGACTGCATAAATCTTTTACTATTATAGCTTGTTATTATAATCTGTATTATTATTTAGCTTTTTAATGGCTTATGGCTGCAGAATAAAACTTACCATATTTTGTGTATTATGTATTTTTACATTTTATTTCTTTCTACATTGCAGCCAATTCAAGCGTCATCAGTTATAGTAATTCATCCCGGTTCTATGTATTTACGTATTGGTCGTGCATCTGAAGCATTTCCTAGAGTCTTCCCTCATGCCATTGCAAGACGTAATAAATTAAGTTTCACTCCAGTGCACAAAGATGATTTTTTGGTACCATTAGTTAATATGGTAAGTTTATATTTTAATTATTTGAATCATGGAGCAAGCATTTTTTACCCTTACTTTAAATTAAAAAATGGCTAATAATATATGATTGGAAATTTGAACAAAAATATATTACTATTATGCCATGTTTTAGACATTTGCATTCAGTTTATGTATTTTAAGTTTGTAGCCACGTAGTTCTCCAAAAAATGAATAATGTAGTCAAATTGTATGTTTATTGCATTTATCATTAAAGTTTATTGCAATAAAAATTATTAAAAATTGCTAAACTATTTTTGATAGTATTTTAAATCCTTCCTTAAAAATGATGCAGAAAGGAAATATCAAATGCAATGATGCCTTGGTACACATTTGCTTTGAAATAAGTCCAACCTTTGTATGCATCCTGTTTGAATGAAAAAAATTTTATGTAGTGTATGATATTTGCTTGGAATACAACACGCTTTTGATCAGTCATGGCTGCATTTGCTACCCTTCTTTATCTCTTTCGAGAGAATTCTATGACCAATTTTGCACACAGGAATGGTAGTAAATGGCAATCTCGGATGCCAGATTTGTAAAATCACTGCACTCTCTTTAGCTTATGTGAGGAGGAAGTTGAGAAAGCCCCTATGTTATTAATCAAGGAAATCTTTGCCAAATGGATGGATGTTAAAAACCATGCAGAAAATTATTATACCAACAAAGCTGATAGAACAAATAATAGTGTTGTCAAGAATGATCAAACAATGTTACATTTCCAAAATACACTTTGAACACTCCTAACGTTTTGTAAGTATAACTTTAAAAACCTATGTGTATCTCATAAAGTTCAGAGTGACCTTCATAATAATAGCACAAGGACTTTTTAATCCATTGGATTAATGATATATACCAAGGTACCACTGTAACTGTAATTTAAGTGACTCATTCAAAATTAGGACATAGTAATCTGCAAAAGGTAAATCATGGGATATCTAATAGATTGATCATTATGGGACATATTTGCCATCTTCCAGGGTTGTACATAAATTTTTCAATGAATGTTGAATGACCTTTAAGTCTAGACCTGATAACACTTGTGGAATAACTTAAAAGTCTTGCAAAGAAGATTACTGGTTTGTAACATGTGAAAGAAAAGAATTCCTCATGCTTCTTCTCAGGTTGATCCTGCTGTCATTTATCGTATACTGTTTGGAACAGCAGTATTGACTGAATCTGTGTGATATAAATAATAAGGATGACTTAAACTCTGTAAAATTTGTTGTGATTTGGACTATGAGATGTGTTGTATAATTGTTTTTAATGGTAATATAAAAAGTGATAGGTAAATTTTAAGAATTGAAATTAATTTGTAATGGGCATAGGCTTTTGTAGCAAAATTTGTTTGCATAAAAACTATCTGTTTTATTCTATTGACAAGTTTCTAGCATATCAGGAATTACTCTTCCAGCACTTTCTGATCATCATAGCAGTTAGCAAACTAACACGAGAACAGTTGTTTGAACTCCTTAATGTTATTACATCTGAATATCTTGAATATTGTTGTTATATTAATTCTAAGCTTTGGACTAGCAACCTTAAGAAAAAAATATACTCTTTGAACTCATCATCAAAACCAGTGAAAAATTATGCAATATAAACCAGTTACTGTGACTGAAATAGAAGAAAGAGGTAAAGATAATATAAATCTCCTCCCCGAAAAGAAAAACTTGAAAGGTTTCATATTTTAATGGTCATCCGAAAGGTTTTATTAAAGTTTTTATGTTCTTGTGGAGCTTGCAGTCTACCAGTCTACTGGTGTACTTGCTCCTGCTAACCTTTTTTATTTTGTCTTTTTAGCTTTATTATTAAGTATAATTTTCTTCGTACATATGCCATTTACATTTCAACTGCAAAATCAAAAATTCTTAAAAGCAGTGTAGCAGCTATGTTTAGAATTCCTGATACTGTGCCATATGTCAACATACATTTAAAAATTTTTTCGATCTTTTCTCAATTCATCATATAAGTGTTCATTTTCCTTAGTAAGGGCTTACAAAAATTTTTTTTTTTTACTTTTTAAATTTAATGTTTTGTGTTATTAACTTTATTAAATATCACACTCTTCACGCTTATGTCACATAAAATTCAGCTCGATGACATAATCACAAAATATTTAAAACAACTTATCTTTATAATTTCTGAAAGATAGTCTTGTGCACTGGAGATAGAAATGCTTTATTCCATAATGTGTTGGTGCTGCTCACTGCGAAATCAGTGAGTTTGTTAATGAAAAATTCATTAAAATTTCGCAAAATATGAAATAAATAATAAAAAAATGTATAATGTCATTCTATGAAAATATTGAATACATATTTTAAAATTAGATTGATCATGAATTAAATTCCTTTTTTATCATTTACATCAGTCAAATTCAAAAGTAAGAATGAATATTCTTAAGAACTGCATCTGTTGCTTTCAGATAACTTAATTTGTTAATTCCAAGCAGACAGATTCAATTTGAAAGATAAATATCATACATTTTGCTAAATGGCAACAGACTAAAATGAAAAGTGAAAAGACTCATTTATAGTGATTTGATGCAAAATCATATTTTGAAACTAAAAACCCTTTTTGGGCTGAGAAACATGCCTCAAATAAATCATAAAAGGGAAGCAACAACCTGTGTTAGGGCAAAAAACTGTATATCGATTTCGAGGGCAAACAAAGTCTTTGCTCCTGATGAAAAGGGACTTTGTTTGCCCTGTTCGCCCTTGATAAAATAAGATGTTGATTGGTATATATAAGTAGACAGTTAAAAAAATTGTGTTAAGGCTATGATACAAATGAAAGATGAAATGGGGGAGGGGAAGAAAATTACATGTTATTATTGAAGCCTGGAGAGATGCTGCAGAATATATATTGCAGTTAAATGACTGATGAATTTGAAACTAGATCCTGAAGTGTGTCTGAAACTCTGTTAATGGCTAAGTGAGAGAAATTGTATAGCCAATCAAACATTAAAGAAATTTCATAGAAAAGATGGTATCAAGCTAAAATTAGGTTGAAAGCTTACTGCATGGGCAAAAACAGTTTTTTTTGGATGATTAAGAAACTCATTAAGGTTAAAAAAAAACAGATATCTAGTAGAAATCTTAATATCTGTTATTCATTTATTTTATAGACAAATGAACTGTGCATTTACTGTAAAAAATATTCTGAATACATATTTTTCACTTTAAAAATTAATAGAAATTCTGTTCTCTTTAAAAGAAAGGGATCTAAAAATTTTTCTAAGAAATGACATTTTAGTGTAAGAAATGTGAATAAGAATTGATGTGGTTAAAGGAAATCAACTTTCACTCTAAAATTCTGTCTAGCATTTTATTTCAGTTGCAATTACATTTAATTTTAAATGATATAATACATGAAACATGTTCTTGCAAATTACATACAATACACACTAGTGCAAACCTGGTTTTTATTTTTTTAACTGTTGATTGTAGTTATATACTTCCAGTTACAAAAAATGTTTTAAATGATACAAATGTTCATGTTTTGACATTTTAAAATATAAAAAATTACAAAATTTAATTTTTTATACCCTCCTTCGGTTTTCTGTACTTGTGCTTAGGAAAATTTCGTACTTGTTATTGAAAAAAATGTGTAACTGCCATAGATATTTGATATAATCAGAGATCATATTAAGGAGTCATACATAAATTGAAGAGTGAAATATTTGCATTTGTGCATAATTGGAAATAAAATATAAGTTTAGAAAAACTTTTCTGGTGTTAAAAGTGATGAGCAGTTTTATGCAGATTATTGTGAAAAATATTGATTAATATTTTTAGTCCAAAGGGGCTTTGTTCCTGAAGGACTATTGTTTTCGTTTTGTGTTGAATCACTATAAATATCCATTTCACTTTTCAAACTGTTGCCACCAAATGTTACTGAATTATATTTGAAGAAATTAAATAATGAAAAATCTGCATAAATGTATGTATATTTCTCACATTGTGATGGAACAACGGTACATAGAGCAATCGAATTTTGAATGACATAATCCTACTGCGAATATGAGCATGTGAAGCCCAAATTTGGAATTTGTTTTATTATCGATTTCATATTTTGTAAAACGTTAACGAAATTTCAAGTAACAAAATCAACGATTTGAAAGCGAGCAATGACAAGAATCTACGGGGGGGGGGGGAGGGGGGGGACCTTTTTATCTCTAGCGCACGGAACTGTGTATCGAAAATTCTAAAGATAGGCTCATTTTAAAATTATTTTGCGACATTGCTATTGTTAACAAAAAACGTCCCTCTTGGACGTAATTTAAAATCTGAAACCTTTCAGATTTTTTTTTTTTTTTTTTTTTCCAAAATTGATATCCTGTTCTCAGAGCATTATAAATTCTTTGCCTAAAAAACACTGACAGACTTCAGTATTGACACCATAGCCAACTCTTAATATTCTCATTAATTAAAAATGAAAATATTTATATTTTAATGAATTTTTGTATGATTGTCAGTTTATGATTCTAAAGTAATAAAACCTTATAAGAATGTTAATAACATATTTTTAGACTCTTGAAAATTTATAAATTACTTATATGAAAGTTCTCTTCTAAATCTAACTAAATTATAAATGAAAGACACCAGTAAATCACAAAAGAATGTCATTGGATGCCATAATGGAAAAAGAAGAATCAATCTTAAATGAACCTAATTGAATATTTATTAATTGACTTCTCAATCTAAATTGAAAACAATGTTAAAAATTACAAATTTTGAAATATATTAGCCTTTTTTTTTTTTTTTTTTTTTTTTTTTTTTTTTGGTCATATAAGAGCCAAACTTTTCAACTGAACAGGGGAACTGATAAACAGTTAGATTTTGTAATTTCTGTAAAATTGGTATCTTTAAAACTATCAAAACATGAATATTTGCATCATATCAAAAAATTTTTTTTTTTTTTTTTTTTTTTTTTTGTAACTGCAAGTATATGTCTATGATGTCTATGACCAACGGCTGTAAAAATAAAAGTTAGGTAAGAACTTTTGTGCATGCAGTGTACATTGCTAAAAATATTTAGTCATAAACACAACTTTATTATTGTTGAATTATTAGAGTAAGCATAATTTTTTACAGTACAGTAAATCAACAATCAGTATCTTTATTTTTGTTTGATTTGCATTAACCAAGAGTATATGTATCAAATATACTAGGTTTCAGTTCTTTTTAGTAAATTTGTAATAGATATAATTTTTAATAAAATAATATTAAATTTTCAAATAGCTTATATTGCTGGATTAAATTTTAAAGTAGATTAAAAAGGGGAAAAGGTTGCAATTTTCATATTGTTTTTACATAATTTATGCACATATTATGTATAAAGTATTTATTATTTTGAAAAAGTTAATGGGTTTAATTTCAGTATGTTTCTTTCTTTGTATTTCATGTGAATGTGACTTTGTATAAAGCTTAACTTTGTAACCAATTCTTTACATAAACTGTTGGACTAACTGTGACATCAAGGCTACCCTCTGGTGAGTAGCCACAGAAGTACTTCAGTAAAAGCCAAGTGTCTAACTTGATAAGTTGTATCAGACTCTTGCTCTGCAATTTTCTTAAAGTTAAATGTAATGTCCGTGTGTAACTTAAACCTGTTAATAAATGCTTGTTGCACTATACAGGACTCTTCTATGACCTTATCTAAAACGACCCCCCTTCACAACTTTTAATTACTGATTCGTTATATTTCTCATTTTAGTCACCAGAATTTATTGCTTCATTAGATGAAATTCAGAATGTTATCAGTACAGTTCTTGCTTCATGTCTTACTCGAGAAGGAAGGCTGAGGTATTCAGTTCCTCTGCATGTAGTAAGTATTTTTCTCAGTTATTGTGGATTGTTTTAAATAATGAATACTTATTTTTTGTCACATAGACAGAGCTTGGGTATTTGCCAAAGTAAAAGCAACAGTTTGACTGGCAGTCATTCCTGTTTCCCGGAAGAAATTGTTAGCTGTGGTTTTATAATTAACAGTGACAGCCTTTTCCCAAAATGATTTTACTTTTTTTTTTAAATTCTGGTAAATATTGCCTACTTGTCATTTGAAATACAGCTTCAAAACAATTTTAATTTTTCCCAGAAAATCTTTTCTGCAATAAGAACTCTGCATCTTACAGAATAATAATAATAATTTAAAAAAAAATCTTTGCAGAGAATGTGCTTGTGCTAATAATTAAAAGCATAGTTGCAACAAGCAAATAGCAACAAGCAAATTTTGGTGGGTTTGTTATGTATTTTAGCAACTGGTGCATCTTTGTTTACTGGATAACTGAGGGCTACCCTGCTCTGTTGCCCCTCCTTTTTTTCATGCACAGTTTTGATTTAACAGGATTTAAGAAAGAAATTCAAATTCTGTTTTATGCAATTTATTTTGATCTAACATAATTTAGAAAGTGCCTTTTTAAAAAATCGCAAATTCAATTAATTCTGAGAAAATATTCCTTCTTAATCAGAAATTTTTAGAATTTAGATTTATAATCAAGGTGTTTTATAGTGAAAGTTTTCTGAAAAGCAAACTATGTTCCCACTGTGTAGTATATAAGACACAAAATTAGTAAATATGAAAATATTTTAATAAAAATTTCATTTAAAATCTCCCTTACTAAAATAGAAATGGCAGTATTAATTTTTTAATTTTATTTTCTGATTGTCTGCAGTCTAAGTTTCAACTTTTCATAAAACTACCATGCATCTTTTACTATCAGCATATCTTTTAGTATACACATGACAGTGCAAGCTTACACCAGACACATGTTTGAATGTACATTGTTTTATATATCTTTTATTTGATTTATATGCCCTCAGTATTTTTTCAGCCTTACCAGTAGCTAAGCAGTTAGTTACTCGTAGGGCCAAGAAAGGAAGGGAATTAAACAATTCAAATTTTAAAATGAACAGAAGAGTAGTGTAGGATCCCACCTGTTCACAGAAAATATACAGCAGATTCAGCACTTGGACTCAAAGCATGCTTTTAGCGAAATTACTAAAGTATTCACTTGCATACCATGGTCATAACTTACCAAGTACTCACTGTCGTCCAATACTAGGTCATGGAAACTACAAACATTTCTGATTCTTATTGATAGATGGCATGACTATTGCAGCACATCAAGAATTCCTTCACCTCAAACAAACAAACTACAAAACATTGTAACAATGTCATGATATGAATTGCTTCTTTACAGCTATACTTGTACCCTACACAACTTAATACACTGAAGCTCACTTGTATAGACTTCAGTTTGTCAAACTAGAGAGCAAAATGTGTCTCTAAATCACCAAGTTTCATAAAGCCAGCTTTTTATGCAACAGGCTTACTTCTGCTAAAGTTCATTTTCAAATATTGTGCTGTGCACTGGGAGTAGACTGTAATAGTGCCATTATTTTAGAAGAAATATGAATTTAGTAGCTGGTATTTGAAATATGCTTTTAGTCCATTTACTAATATATGTGCAAATGATCCGGTTTTGTGCTAGCAAATAAAAGTTATAGTGTTTCCCAATTCCTGTTGATACATGGTGCCACCACTGTAATCTATTATGAAAACAAATACAGCTGATCACTATAGTAGGATAAGTATAATTGAAAACTGATAAAATATTTATGTAACCTATTTTTGTGCCACAGGAAAGAACAAAAGTATCAACAATATAATAATTCTAAATAAAAAGGGAAATTTATTTTTCAGATTTGTTTCTAAAAACGCATTTAAAGTAATATATATAAATCTTACCAAGAAGATTGATTAATAATGCATAATTCAGTCTTCTTTATGTTACAGTCCTTTTGTACGAGTCATATTCTTTTCAGATCATGTTTTCTCTTGAAACATTTTCAGTCTATTTGTGTTTAAAATTAATGTCAAATGAAGGTCAAATTTAAAATTCATAAAAAATCACCTTTAATTTTTTTAACTGGAAGTTTTAAAGAACTCTCTTTTTTCTGTTATGTATTAAGTCTTTTTTTGCTATTTGAAATCTATAAAAAATTTTAAGAAATCTGCAGTTTGTTTATTAAATGACTAATTTCATTTTGATACATAAAAGAAACATTTATATCTGTAAATTTGAAATTAAGCAAAATTCAGCCTCATGTTGGCATTGATTTAGAGGTTTAAATTGCATACAGTTTGAGAACACATGTTTATTTTTTAGCAGAAAATTTCATTGGAGAACAAGATCAGTTATCTCATCACAGAAATACATATAATATTTAAAAAAGCAAATGAATCTGAAGTCAGATTTTGTTATGTTTTAAATGTGTTTGTTACTTACAATTGATTTGTTTGTGTTCTAGGTAACTGAACATAATATGAAAGTAAAGCCTCAAGTTGTTTGTGTGAAAAGTGATCTTTCATGGACAAAAATGGAAGATACACAGGATTTTGTTATTGGTGATGAAGTAAGTAACTTTCCATCTATGTGTATAAGTAGAGACATTGAATAAATTTTAACACAAGACTTGTACAAGATAAAAATCCTAAATCAGTTTTCTACATAGTTCCCCTTGGCTTCAGTGCATTAAGGACAGTGATCTGTTAAACATCAAATTCCAACAGAAAATAGTACTTTATTATACCCTGAATGACATCTTTCAAATCCTCCTCATTGTTTTAAGTAAACTATATAGACACTGCTACCCTTTTTTAATCAAAAGAAGTCACTAGCAGCTAAGTCCCAACAATGCATAGAGGGGGGATGTTGGGTTGATTTGATCAATATAGTTTGACTCCTTAATCCATGACCATGAACGCAAACGTGCATGCACCATTTGGACTGAATTATTCACAAAATGGGTGGAAGGATGGGGACTTTTCTTTCCCTTGAGCACATAAATTCTCTCTTTCCTGGAGAAGAGAAAACTTTTATATGACCTTTCACGCCGCAGCTGAAACTAATGATGTTACTAACTGTATGCAAACCATATTTGTTTTGTATGTGTTGTAATAAAGTGTTCGTCCCATTAATACATATGCTATATGAAAATGCCTACATCGTGTCACGTTCCTGTTAAGCATATCTAGAACCCACTTCATGACGGATATACGACAGATGTGATGCTGAAATATACATTGCTGAAGAGTAGCTTGTGAAATTTTAGCCATATATGATGGGGCAATTTTATGTGAAAGGAAAACAGTTCTACTTAATTTGCTGCTGTGTTTTTCCTTTGTGGTAGCACCTGGGTTTAAGATCTAGCTGATCTCATGGTGCCATCTGTAATTAGTAATAGGGACCAATTGCTTTTGGTCTATGCTGTGCAGAATTGTTAATGGTGATTTCCACTGATATAGGAACTTGTACAGGCTTCTGTTCTGCTCATGTTTAAAACTCAGAACCTTGGGTTCCATACCTTGATGTTTAAAGGCAGTTAGGCCAAAATAGGTGTTTAGACATGAGTGATTGGATGTCTTTTCTGCACAGTGGTTGTAGAGAGTGATGCTCCTAGAGTCTTAATTTGATAGACTCTGGGATTAAGACTCAAGAATTAAGACTCCTCCCAGAGTCTTAATTTGATAGGCATGATGTTTGATAAACTGCCCACTTAGTGACACTGGTGAACTCATGTGCATGGTTGAAACTGTGATCTGTTGGGATGTTTTTGCCATTAGGTTGTGGGGTGGAGCAAAAGTATCGAATTGATGCTGTTGTAATGCATTTTGTTAGGTGTGGTTGTGAGAGTGTCTGTTTGATGCTGTCTCTTGTAGGTGGCTGCAGTCGAGATTTTTTTTTAGCATAGTTTTACGTACAAATTCCTAGACAAGGCAAGCATATGTAACAATGGAACATATTATGGTCTTATAGATGAGTAACTTGTTATCTAATGATAGACCAGAGTTCCATCAAATTAAAAGGGTGAAGAGTATCTTTACATTTCCAGATCTTGGAACATTGGAAATTACTGTTTGTACCGTATGTGGGGCTTTCATGTTAATCTCTGTAGAATAACAGCAAGATAAGTTGCCACATGATAACAGTATTATACATACTGATGCTGTTAATAATCGTCTATCAATTTGTGAACATTATAGCCACTGTCTTATCCATGTTGATCTTGATTTATCATTTCTGCAGTCAGGACTCAGTGCACATATGTGATTTTGTAGTGCATGAGTAACTGAACATAAAGATACATTTCATGCAAGAATCACTGTATCGTCCACATACAGGACAAGTGTTATGTTGGGAGTGCGAGTGTTATGTTGTTCACGTAAAGCAATAATGATATTAGGCCAATTATTGATTCTTGTAATATACCAGCTTTAATTAGCTCATTTGTAGAATATGCATTTTTTAATCAAACAACAAAATGTCTATCTGAAATATTAATTGTGTTTGGGTAGAACAGCAGTGGGAAAGAAAGTACATAAAGATTTCTTCAGAAAGGTAAGAGTTTTATTTTGGATATTTCTTGCATTTTTAATTTTATTGATTCATTGTTTTTTTTATGAAATTCTTAGTGTAAAAAAGTAGTCATGAATGAGTTGCAGACATTTCAAAGATGAATAATCAGAAAATATCATATAATGTTTGATTTAATGCTTTAAAAAATTTCCAATCAAATAGATCAGGTGTACACCAGTTTCTGTTAAATTTTTCTCTTAATTATAAAACAAAATAAAAATATCAAAGGGAATTATTATGATGCTCTTTTTTTATCATTCTTTGCTCTTGTATCAAATTTGACATCTTTGTGTTTTTCAGAAATGATAGAGCAACAAAACGAAATGGATACAGAAGCAGATATAACTTCAAATGGATTATACAATGTTGTTCTTAGGGACTTTAGGGCAATGAAAAAGCATTTTTAAGTATTATTGATTTAGATGTTTTAATAATTTTTCTTTGTGCACATTTTTCCACAAAAACAGTAAATCTTTTATTTCATTTTATTTATTTTTTAAATTCTATTTTATGTTATTTTTTATTAATTTTTGCTTTTTAATTATCCTCATCTCCCATTGAGAAAATTTTTCGCCAAGTTAAATAATCAGAAGGTAGCAGCCATTTTGAAAATGGCAGCACACTAAGAATTCCATAAAAGAGCAATCAATGAATAAAGTTAAAAAAAGCAAGAAACACCAGTAATAAGACACTTGCCTTTTTCAAAAATCCTCTTGTAATTTTGCATTGTCGTTTTTACTGGGGGGGGGGAAATCAGTAAATTATACAAATTTCACATTGCACATGCTGTTGTTTTCTTTACATACACAGCAATGTGTGTTTGCTTAAAAAGACATCAGAGAGTTGCATAAATTTGGCATTGCCCTCTGACCATTATCTCAGTCACCCAAGATCAGTTAGTATGTTTATCTTAGGGTGCATGATTACCATAACAATGTGCCCACCAGCAGCTTAGCGGTAAAATCGCTGAACACTGGTAGTTCAGTGCAGGGTTCGAATGCCAGGAACAGGCTGGATGTGTGGGTGTTTTCATGGTTTTCCCCATGCGTAACATGTATACAAGCCAGTTTTCCTTAAAAAGTCCTCTGTGAAGCCATCCTTCTCCTTAGGCAGATAGCCCTCATGGGCTTTGCCATAATTAAATAAACCAAACCATAATAATGTAACATCGAAGAGAAATAAAAGCTAGCTTAAATGAGATATGGTGGTCTTCCAACAAATTTCCAGCCTGCCTTTTAATAGTTTGTTTTCAATTTTCACAATGTATTTCCATAAAATTTGATTATTTAAGAAACACAACTTCATGTATTGCATTTTCTACTATTGGGCAAAATGTCATATTTCTGAAGAAAGGCAACCTATTCTTTTTCAGCAGCTAGCAAACTCCACAGGATTCATTACAAAAAATTGTAGAATTTAGAAGGTGAAAATCTGTGTTTACTGAATGTGTGCTTATTGCATTCATTCCAGGGTTGCCACATAAATACATTTTGATGGCATTGTGGGTTGCCAACTGTTTCGGTGATAAAGTATATTGCCTCATGAATACTTTTTAGAGGGTGCCAGATAATCAGAAAGAACCATTAGTATTTTACAGTTTAATTTATATGTGATATATTTGTTGATTTATTAAAATTTATATACTTTGATAAACAACAATTTTTTTTAATTAAATAACTTTATCATTAATAATTTTTATCTTGATAAAAGTATTATTTACTAAATTTACTAAGGGAACAGAATTTTTTCATTGAAGGGAAATCAGTGTGTAAGTCAAACAAGGAACAAAGAATCTTTTTGGAATTCCTTATATAAAGGGAACTTTACAGTAAAACAATGAAAATGTTTTATTAAAAGCTCAGTAACTGATATTTATTAATAAATTAATTAGTTTCTACTGTTCACCCAAGATCAGTTGATTAGAATTGAGCTTTACAGTTATTACTTAAAATGATAGTGCTAGTTGAAAATTCTCCAAGGTTTTTAAATAGTAAAAAATAAATGTTTAAAATACAAAGAAACCTATCACAGTAACCACCTCTCTGAGATGACTGCTTTTGAAGGTAAACAGTATTTTTGAAACTATAATTTACTTATAGTATTGAGCATTGTTGATTACCATTTTCTTATGGTGATCTGAAGAAGCTGCAGAAAACCATAATCATCTGGAATCAAGGTGGTCATTTTAGAGCTGTTTTACTGTATCTTATGTATTAAGATTTAAAAGTCTGTGGGATACCAAATATATTTATGAGATATTTTTATTAGTACTTTTATGTTACATTGTACTATTTTCAGGTTTTATACCTTCAGCCAGGTGAAAATTTTAATGTTCATTGGCCAATCAGAAGAGGGCAGCTTAATTTACATCCTGGTGTTGGAGGCTCATTATCCTCAGTTCTCGCAGACCTAGAAGCAATATGGAGTACTGCCATTCAGAAGTATTTAGACATTCCATTAAAAGATTTAAAAGTAAAGCATTTTGACAAGGAAATTATTTTTATTTTATGTTTAAGCCATTTGCGAAAGAGTATAAAGTTTTTAACATTTTTTAACTCACCAGTAGTAGGAAATTGTTAATTAATATGAAATAGCTATTCATTATAAACATGATAGTTATATATGCAGTTGACACTTGCTATAATGACACCTTGTGTCCTAAAGAAAAAAAGGTACTTATAATGATAGTCACTATAGTAGAAGTGGATTTAATATATTCTGGTCAGTTAAAGACTTTTTGCCCTGATCACTGTAATGGAAAGATCACAATGAGTGATCATCATATGATCACTTGATGACCTTTCCATAACTGCCAACTTTCATAGTTTTACCTGGAGACTTTCAGTTTTTCATCAAATCTTCAGATAGATCACCTGATCTCCCAGTTTTTAATTTTTATCCTTTAATAAGGGACGTGCTTTTAAGTAATAAATAAAATTTATTGAATTAAGAAAATTTGTATTAAGCTAATTCTATCCCTTCACCTCTGATGATTTCAGAATAACTTTTCTTATAAAATTTTATTTCATCTGTATTGTATATATTTCTTATTATATTTCATTGATCTTATTAAATTTCCAGTCTGAGTTGTCTTAATCTGTTGTAGCTATTTTAATATGAAGATTCAAGCAATATTTAATCATTTAATATTTGTATTTAATTTAATTGTACTTCAGTGTATGGTACATTACTAAGTTTATCCATATAAATTCTATATGCATTGATTATTAATTTTATTTTCATTATATTTAAAAGTATTTTGATAAATAAAAGCCTTCCTTTACTTCTCGGAAAATGATATTAACCAGAGAACTTGGAATTTAGACTATCCAAATAAATGCTAATACATTTTACATCAGAATTGAATTACAAACATTTCAACCATGCATTATAAAATAAGTTAAAGTCCATGCATTATAAAGTAAATTTCAGTCTGGTGTTCCTTTGAAATGGTATTACTGCCTAATGTGAAAACCATGTAGTTTCTCCCTGGTTTGTAAGATTTCAAAGGTGGTAGCTATACCTTTTTTCTTCCTCTTTTTAATTTGGGGTTTCTATAGAATATTCTCGCTGTTACATTTGTTACATGAGAATATTGTAACAGTTATGTATTATTATTGCTGAGAGAATATTTTGTTCCAAACTTTTATTACAATCAAAAGTCGTTAATTCGGACACCCATAATCTGGAATGATCTATAATCCGGACCTCAAAGCTACAAACTGGCGCATGCACGTAAGACCTTTACGGCTGCGAATATGCGTGTGCGCAAATTACGTTTATGAATGCATGTTTAATGTATAACGAACGGTATAAGCTAAGCTAAAATGATCTAATTCAGTTAATGTTGCGGATTGCGTTGTTCCTTAATCTTCGAATTGGATTCGGCTTATTATTTTTTGCAGACTGCTAGAGCAATTTGATAAAAGTAAGCTTGAACTTTCGATTATGCCAAATAGAATTTCTGATATATACTATTTACTAATATGTAAAGGATCTACAAAGCGAAAGTATGTTTCGAAGTCCATTAAACAAAAAGTGGAATTGCTGCAAAAAATGAATAAAGGCATATCCTTTGTTTATCTAAACTTTAACGTTTGTTTATCTAAACTTCGTTTATCTAAACTTTGTTTATCTTTAACGCCGTGGGGCGCAATGAATTTTCCATTGGAGGAAAAATATGTTATTTTTTAAACGGGATTACTACTACACTTTTCTTTTATTCTGATAGTCCAAGGAATGTTTGATTTTCTTGGAAGGTCACCTTATTGGAGGAAGGATTTTGCTTTCTGTGCTATGAATAGATAAAATTCATTTAAATGGTTCATTTCATGGTTCATTTAAATATTTAGTTTATGAAGAATGTTGATCTGTTGAATTTCTAAATTTTTTTTATGTTGCTCTAATGTAAAATGTAAATCACAAAATGCTGAAATCCTTGAACTTGGAGGGAAAATTTAGTGGAACTTCATACTTAATTTGGCATAATAGATGCATGTGCTTGTGGTGTGCTTCCAAAATGCACTGCATCTGATGCTTATGTCTGGGAAGACCATAACGTCATGATATTTAATGTTGCAACAATGCCGAAATCGTTGTTGCTGTTAATGGCATGAGGAGACCGTTATCAAACTACTGTGAAGATATTACAGCTTTCACTGTGCTAGTCATTTTTCTAGGTTTTATATCAGGACATTTGTAGTGAATGTTTAAAGGCTGATTTGATGCTGTTTGGTGAATAGTGGATTTCACTAATTTTAAACCCTGATCAATAGAGCTTATTCTTCGGTTGGTAGAACGTACTTGACAGATTATTGTTTCTCCATGTAGTTTCACTTTGTGAAATCTGGCTACACTGTGCCTAGGTAGCAGTTTTATGTGAAGGTATATTAGATTAAATAGGAAACAAAGCATTTTTCCTCTTGATGTCTTTCTCTTGAATAGGGAGCATTTATGCATTGCATATGGGAGAAACAGTTTGAGGGAAACACAGAGCTAGATTGATAATATTTGAACTGTATTACAGCATAAATGCTACTGTAGCCAATAAAATATCTCTTCAGATCTCTGCAAACAAACGTGTGTCAATTAATATCTGAATCCATATTTATTACTTGCTGCTTAAGCAATTCCAAACTGAAATATTCAATCTAGTTCTTTGATTGTTATCTTTGGAATCTTATTTTTGCTTCCCCTCTATGCATTCATTTCTGCTCAGTTTCAAGAAGACAACTGCCATTTAAAACTGCTATCATGTAATTAGAAGACACTTGTCTTCACAAAATCATGCATATATTCTACTGGATGTTAATATTCATTATAAGCTTTCCAAAATTCTTGATTAATTTATAATCACATTTGGACAGTAAATTTAAATGAATGCTAACTGAAACTCTTGCTGCATATTTAAAAGGACCGTAACAATTAAATTTACTGTATTAATCAAATCCTGCATCAAAAAGGGAATATCTATATATCAAAAAATTGGAAAACTACTAAATGAAAGATGGCAAATTAATCAACACCACCTTATTTTTATGTATGCATAATGCAATTGTGTATTGGAAAATAAAATTAGACTGGTCTGATTTTACATTGTTTAATCAATATTTATTTATTCAAGGTACTTCATCAAGATGCTTTTGTATTTCAAAGCTAATCTTGGTACTACTGTCCAGGTCTACCATCTGTAACTTTCTAGTGATACATATGTGGAAATAATATCCCTTCTTTTAATTTATTATTGGCTTTTCTAAAATTGTACTGGAATTACATTATATATTTACAATGCTGTAATACTTTAGGAATTCTTAATTTATTACAAATACATCTTGCACTTTCTTCTTATTTATTATTTACTTACTACTTATTATTTTCTGCTTATTTTACTTATTCTGGGGCTTGACATTTTTTAATTCTCACTGCTAGAAGTTAGCAGTCTTGCTTTATAGCATTTATATTGCTATAATATAAGATTCTATAGGCATTGCAGTTTATTATTGACTTTCATATTTTATTCTCTATAATGAAGAGTATTTTACTAGAATGTTATTAAGAATATCTTTGTCTTTTGCTTTCTCTAATTTTCTAAAAACGTATAAAAATGCACAAAATTGTTTATGAAATTTTAGATAATAAATGCCGTATATATATATATATATATATATTTGTTTTGCTAATTATCTTGAGGATTATTGGGCATGTCATTTCTTACATATTTGTTAGAATTACTTAAATAGTTTTAAAGGTAATGCATGTCTAGCTTCTTTCAGCATTAGTGATTAAAAATTTTGAAAAATTGAATATAATGTATGTAATTTTCAGGATATTATTTAAATTCAGTTTTTGCTGTTAACTTCATAATTACTTTTAGCTTTCTTTTAATGTTATGATGATCTTACATGCATGATTACTACATACATTTAAACCGTACAAAATCAGTTCAAGGCTTCGAGAGTTTCAATTCTATAAATATTTTATTTTGTTTATTCTAAGAAAATTAAAATATTGTGTTTTTATTGCAGTTGTACAGAGCAGTTTTAATCATTCCTGATGTCTATAAACGTGAACATGTTAAGGAATTAGTGAATTTGCTGTTGACTCGGCTAGGTTTTATGAGCTGCTTTGTGCATTTGGTAATTATTATTTCCTCTTTTGATTTCTGTATTAGATTTAAAGGTGAATTTATGTTTTTCCATTGTAATGAAATATTTTAGTATAGCTACATAAGACATAAAAATATGTCTATTTGCATATATTTTTATATACTTACACATATAAGCATTCATATGAAATCACGGTTTAAAATAAATATAAAAGTTATTTCAGAAATACAACATACCTATTTTTTTATTTTGTATTTCTGATTTTTTTTGTAATCATTTTAATTGGAAGCAAATCAGTGCTCTACACCACAGTATTAGACATGACCATTCCTGTTTCTGTGGCATCATAATCTGTTTCTTTTTGTAATATCTGGCAAGGTTACCAGAAAACTAAGGGTTTGCCAGAAAAATTTGTAAAAAATATTTAGCATTTGATCTTTCTTTAAATTGATGATACCAAATATAAAAATGACATTTTAACACATTTGTTCACTTATTCATCAATATGAAATGTGAAATATTAAAAAGTTCATTAAATGATGTAGTAGCACATAACTTTTGATAAAATCAATTTAAAACTTTATTGTGGATTGGAATTTTAAATTGCGTTATTGATTGTTATCATTGAGTATAATTTTTCTATCAAGCAGATTCATAATTGTTTGATTTTTTAAAAATAAATTTTGGTCTAGTGTCATTATTTTACATTAGTTTGATTAAAGCGATTTTTAGTATGACATATCAAAAGGAAGCACTGTTGTCTATTTTTTCCTTTCATGCAATCAAAACTTTGAATGATACTATGATACTTTTTTAAAGACTTTTTTTTATTATTGTGACATATTTATGATTCACTTTTTGATAATTGGATTGTAAAAAAAAATTACAATTCTTTATTCTATTACTGGTAACAACTGAAACTTAATTTTATTTCTTCAGGAATCAGTGTGTGCAACATTTGGTGCTGGCGTCAGTTATGCATGTGTTGTTGATGTTGGAGACCAAAAAACTACCGTGTCATGTGTAGAAGATGGAATTTCCCATAGAAATACCAGGTGCAGCTTATTGCAATTATTATAATTTTATTGGTATTCTGTTTTTATTATGTCATAAACTTATAAAGATTTTTATTTATTGTTTTGGAGATGTATATCACGGAGAGTAATATATATTTTATTTCTTTCTTGGTATAACTTCAAAATAATTTATTTAAAAACTAAGCCCAGTTTTAAGGTAAAAATTAAGCCCTATGTTGTAAGCCTAAACTTTTAAAGTCCCTGGAAAGTCTGCATTTTTAAAGAAAATACTTGTAAATGGTGATTAATTTTTTAGGCCTGCTTATAATCAGATGTTATGTGTAACATTTTAGACTTCTTAAAGTCAGTAAAAAACTTCTGCTTGTGTTAAGTTCATCAAAAAAAGTTTTCCATATGCAGTAAACTATGTAACTTGTCTGTCTGACAAAAATACTTTCTATATTATGGTTCCTTTTCACATCATTAATATGGTTCTGATCCTTCTCACAGATTACACATTTAAAACTAATTATTTTTTCCATAGAAATATAAAAAACTTAAAATAAATGACAAAAAACATTGAAAAATTTAACTTTTACTTAATCTCTGAGTACAAAAATAAATGACCGTTTCTATATTGTATTTCAATCTTATTTGGTGATTTTATCTTTTATTTGCCGACTTTACTTCAGTTTAAAAATTTCGTCCTGTAACATTGTGATAATATTAACCAACCTGTTGATCACAATAAGTAATATATTTTTCGTGTTTTCACATACAAATGTGCAAGACTTTGGTAATTCAATAATAATATTCAAATGCTGACATTAACCATGATTGCAATAAGTGGTGCCTACTGTATTAACAGATCTCCATCATGCTTCTTTGAGGTAACATGGAAGCATTTATGGTGTGTACTCTGCATGTTATGTAGAATCTTTAGCTTTAGAAAAGCCCAGCATGAGAATTAGTACCATTTGAGTTGTTTAAGTATTAGTACTATCTACAGGATTGACACAGCTCAGTTTGACTGCAGGATTGACACAGTTCAGTTTGATGACTGTATCCTAATCATCCCAGCACCTTATAAGAAAGCCATTCATCTCTATTGCCATCTAAAAAAATAATAAAAGTCTATCTAAAAGCACTAGATTGCACGTTACATCATTATTAGTAAATGTAATTCAGGATAGAAAAGCTAAATGAGTGGAAGAAGAAACTTAATCTAAAGTTATAAAAACTGTCATCCTATTTGTTGTCAGCTTGAATGTCAAAAGCCAACATTTAACATCATGTAAAATTTTAGGAAGGGAAGAATGCATTTTAGATATAAAAGCCAACATATTTTCATATGTCAATTTAAACATATGAAAGTATTATCAAATTATGAAACCCTTTCATCCATGGAAACTGGCCTAGATCCTGCCAGTCATTCCAGCAGAAGCTTGAATGTCTTTCTTTATCTAGTTAGAAATTAAAAGATGCAGGTTATGGTTATTTTGAATACTTTCTGATTATCTGCGCTTTCTCCCAGAAGTTGCTTGTACAAAGGTATTAAGGCGATGCACCATGTCACTGAAAAGTATTTATGTGGCATCCCACAATTTCGCAAAATAGTTTCAATATGGCAACTCAAGATATATGTGTAGCCATAGCTGCTAGCAGTCATCGGCAAGTGCAAAAATACTTCTCAATTTTTTTTTTTTTACATTGAAACCAAACTTTTTTTTTTTTTTTTTGTGTGTGTGTGTGTGTTTACCATGGCTGACATTTCTTCAAGTGTTTTGTTGCATCTTCTCGGTAGTTCACTGAGCCTCCTGGGTTTTAATTTTTAGTCTTTAGTAGGCAAAATGTTTTTCAACAATAAATGAAGTTTACTGTACTCATGAAATTCATGTTGTCCAACTCCTTTTGGAGAGTTTCAACAAAATTTTTCATATTAAATGTTTTTTGATGTGAATTGTGTTAATCTAGAGTACATGCATTTAAAATTTATATGAAGATTCAACCAATGCTTAATCAATTAATATTTGTATTTAATTTGGGGTTACATCAATATATGATACTTAGTTTATCCACACAATAATGATAAGTTTATCCATACAATTAGTATGCACATTAATCTTTAATATTACTTTCATCATGTTTAAAAGTATTTTGATAAAGTGAAGATTTCTCTTTCTTTTTCGGATTTTCTCAGCATAATTGCATAAGAATCATATTTAAATAGTTGAATAACCTGAATCATGCAATTACAAAACAGATTAAAATTAGTTTGTAGCTTTTTATTTATTTATTTATTTTTTAAATAGTCCTGTTGTGCATCATGAAACAGCTCCCGGAAACTTTCAGTTTTTGGCAGAAGAACCTCCGAGTTTTTCATATTTCATGGTTCGCAATTATGCCATAGCTTATGTGGATTTGCAGTTTTGAAATTCAGCATTTATTCTTCTGATTTGTATTTCTTTTAGCATTGAGTGCTTTTTATTTTGTTGTAACAATTTATAATAGAACTGTAGAGTTTTCTGGCTGATGAAAAAGGAAGCATTGTATTTATGCAGAAATAATGGTAATTTGTCTAACAACAGAGAATGTCAAAAATTCACTATCTTTGGAATTGTACTTTTAAATGACTGGATTTTATAAAAATGCCATTGAAAAATTGAAAGTGAAGTGTTAGAATGTGTGTTTGTGGAAACTGGTTTGAAAATTGCCATATTTTGTTTATAACAGCTGTTTGCTTAAATTAGTGTTCGGCAAAAGAATATACATCAGTGACATTGTGTAAAAAACTGGGATTAACTCCAAGCTGAAATATCAGTTTGTGTAATTACCTCTGAGAAGTATGCGTAACTTCCGGGGAATAAGGCAGCACTGGATGAATTATTGAGAGAATTGTAAGGATATCCAAACAAACATTTCTCTCCATTTCTCTCTATTCAAACATTTCTGAAAAGTCACCAACAAGTTCAAGATTTTTCAGTGTGGGGTGCAGATAATCAGAAAGTACCATATTTTGTGTTAATCTTTGTCATCAAAATTCAATCCCAGTACACAATATCTCTCAGTTTGTCCTAATATCCATATTATTATAATACCATCGTAAGTGTTTAAAATTTTTCTTTTGATTTCTGATTGTATTTCATCAGATTTTGAATTAAATTTCTAAACTAATATTCTTTGATTTTCTTGATAGCTCAAAATAAAATTGAGGGGAATATAGAGCATGTTACTATGAACACATGCTTCTCAGGAACACTAGAGGCTAACATTTGTGCAGAAATTCACATGTATGTCTAAATTCTAAGACATTTTCCACTCATTCTCATCCTCAGATTCTATTAGTTCATAAAGGAAAATAAAATAAATCTGAACCAAAGTTTAAATACCTGTTATATATACACACATATATATGTAAGACAAAATTCTGACTTTAATTTGCAATCATTAAGCTCTTTTTTAAATGTATTTCCTCTTTATATCCTAAAAATAGTAATGTAATACCTGTTATATATACACACACGTATCTACGTAGGCTATTCAGAAAGTAAGGAACGTTTCCGTCTGACGTCGCAAGGCGTGCGCCGATCACATATATTTTGGTGTCTGCGTGCTCAGCATCTCAGTCGGCATCCAGGTATCACAACGAGAACATTTCCACACTGCCCGTTTTTTCGATATTCAAATTTAAAATGTGCGCCGCAATTGAAAATCTCGTCAGTTGTGAGGTGCGGTCTGTGATGCGGTTTTTGTTGACAAAAAAAACCTAAAACCTATTGAAATTTATCGGCAAGTGTGTGAAGTATACGGAAACAAAATAATGAATGAAAGTTCTGGATCTCAGACTTTGTAATGTAGCTCTCTAAACTATGGAGTTAAAAATAAATCCTTGTCATATAATACTGATATGATTCTAATGACGAGTGTTCTTCAATCAAAGTAATATTAAAACTTACAAACTAAACCTTTATTAGCCAGTAGAAATGGCATCGAACCAAAACTGGATAGTTCTGAACCTAACTTTGAGACTGTAATCTGTGCATTCTTCTCGTATTTTCTGCTTTACTAACTTATTATCACTTGCCTTTCTTATATCAAATATATTGTTATAAAGGTGGAAGGAAAACACAAATGTAAGTATTCAAGAAAGGTCATACAGACTGCACTAATTAAGTCATTTTGTCAGCAATAAAAAAATATTCAACTATCATATCTGCTAAATCTTCATGCACAAGCACCATCAACATCATATATCCTTGTCATTACATAAAAAAATATATTGTTACATATACATGCACTTTGCAGACATTCATGAAATAGTAATAAAATTAGCTTTAATGATATAAAATTTAAATATTCAAAGATCAGCAATGATTACACTACATTGGTCAAATAATGGAATGTTTTATAGGATTCAAAAAATAAAATAAAAAATAAAAATTGCTGGGGAGGAGAATAATGAACAATAAAAATTTGAAAAAACGGAGGGGGGGGGGAGTGTAAAACACAAGACAGCAAGAGAATGCAAAACCAGAAATTGCAGGAGAGTGTGTGATAAATATATTTGTTTATTTGCTCATAGTGAAAGATGATATTTGAAAAAAACCATACTTTATTTTATTTTCAGAACAAAGTAAAAGCAGTACTAAAATAAATTGCTATAGAAATATTTATGCAGTACCATGAAAAAGTTGCTAGTACCCCCTTTATGTTGATCTTCTTAATTCCTTTGTCTTTGAAATAATTGCCTATGTATTCAGTATATTTTTTTATAGATAGAGAAGTAATACTGTCATATAATATTTTGAAATCTGTTAGCATTTATTTGATTCTTTTGAAGTGTGCATGTTTATTTCACTTCTAAAACATGTAAAAGGTGAGGTTTCATTCTATATTTGATGTGAAATTTTTCTTAGGTTGAATATTAATTATGGTGGCAATGATATAACTCGTCTGTTTCACTGGCTTCAAGAAAAGTATAGTTTTCCATATCATTGTTCACCTGAAAGTCCTCTTGATTCTTTACTGATGCAAGACTTAAAAGAAAAATTGTGTCATGTGAATCTGGTATGTAATCTAATGCTACAAAATCCATATTTCAAATTTGTATGTGTTATTTATATATTGTTATTAATCTGTTCATTTTTTTAAAATTGCATAAAGAACCGATTGTTTTACAGAAACTGATTATAAAAGGAAAAAAGTTTCAAATGTTTGTGAATATATTATTATTATTTAGATGTGAATGTTGTTAAATATTTTGGAGTAAATTGTCTGCAGACACTTTCATTTACTCATTCTGTGTTCTTTATGCAATTAAAATATTTTGAAGTATAATTTTCTAAATATTAGTGTTAATGCTACCTTCCTTAATTCCTTAAATGATATGAAATTAGTTGCATAATTGCTGAAACCATCATATTTGTAAGTACAGTGTAATAAGTATTCATTTTGAGTTGATGTATATGGCATATTAGCCGTTGAGTTGCACGGACTTAAAATAACATAATTTTTCTAAAAGTTTTTTTTTTTTTTTTTTGTAGATTTAAATTCTCTATATAGGCACATACATGAGTGAATTCATACTTGCATATCTAAATGAAATGTATTTCGAATCATGAGAAACTGTTCCTTGTAATTAGCTAGAATATTTTGTTCAGGTGCATGTCTTAAAGAATTTCTGCTTAAAAATGATTATGTAAATATTTGTGCAACTTCTATTTTCTGGTATTGACATTCAAAATGTTAATTTTAAATGCCAATACTAGAAATTTTAATACTAAACTTCTTATTTCCAAAAATTAAAAATTTTGAAAAATTTATGCTGCAGCTGTTCTACTAAGCTGTTGTTACAATACATTCAAAATTATATATTCAGTGTTGTTAAGCTTTATGTTACATATGTTCATTTAGTTTATTTCTATTATTATTATTTTGGATGTATTATAATGCAGAGTTAAAAAAGATCTTGAACAGAATTTGGAAATTAAGAACTGTAAAGAAATTAACTGAAATTAATTACATAATCTTTTATTTTAATTCAGTTAAGTTTTAGTTTTTTTAATTACTTAAAAGTATTTATATTTTTCAACTTTAAATTTATGTTTAGGATGTCTGTGGGGCTCAAGATAGAAGCTTCCTTATTAAACGACCTAATGAACCAGTTGTTAGGTATGTTATAAAGGTATGTTTCATTTGTAAAACTAATACTTGCATTTTCTGAAAATCTAAATAAAAATTCCTCTTAATTTCTGAACATTTAGTTATTATTATTATTTGGAAATGATTCACACAATGAAATTTTTGGAAATACTTAATTTGCAGCTTCTATTATGAATTGCAGTTATTTTAAAACAAATTATATACAGATGCTTTTGTAGGTATAGTTGAATGTAGTTAAGTTTTAGTAATACAGTCCAAGTAGAAGGTAATTTGAAAAAAAGTTAATTAAACTTGAATAGTGTGAATTAAAGTGTTTGCATGTTTTTATACAGATGGGAAATTTTAGAGGTTTAATTTGTTTGTTTCAACAAACATAATGATTTTGAAAAATCAGCTCGATATTCAACGAACGAAATGATAAAACTAAAACAAAATACCTTTCAGCGATGTTGTTCAAGATAGAGTTACATAATGGTGAGCTTGTAGACTGCAAATGGCTAATATATTCTCTTTCACAAGGAAAAGTATACTGTTTCGTATGTAAATTGTTTTTATCTACCGATTCTGCATTTAACACTAGCTGATTCAATAACTATAAGCATGCATATACAGCTACTTCACAACATGAAAACTCAACTGAACACAGAAAGTGTGTGATGAGCTACCACAATCATTTACAGTTATCTAGTCATATAGATAGGCAACTTATCATGCAATTTAATGACTGAAAGAAGAAGAAGAAGTCATTACTAGAAAGAAGTGCTGGAGAGAACAGCTGCTGTTATAAAGTTCTTAGCACCAAGAGGTCTGGCTTTCAGAGGGGAAAATGAAATTATTGGTTCAGTGAAAAATGTAAATTATCTACATACTCCAAAGTAAGTTTGATCAATTTTTGGATGAACATATTAAAAAGTACAGCAATTCTGGAAAAGGTAATCCCTCACATCTGTCTGCTATAATTTGTGAGGAATTCACAGAAGTCACTGCATCAAAAGTCCTTCCAACTGTCGTCACTGAAATACAGAAAGCTAAGTACAGTCAAAAAGTCTTTAATCCGGACTCGTCGGGACTTCGGCGATTCGGGATTATTGTTTTTTCCGGATTATAGATCATCAGTTTAAATCTGGTAAGATGGCATGCAGATATTATAACATTAAAAATACGAAACCGAAATTTATGAAATAAAGAGCAATTATGATCTAAGGGTATCAAAATTTACCAAAAAGCGCTTAATATTTATTTGTTTACTTTATTAAACATTTCTTTCAACGTGCGCATGCGTAAAGCATACATTACACATAGTCGAAATTAGGAAATTGCAACCAGAAAACTATTTGATGTGTACTCGTGATATTTATAATGATGAGGAATTTGATTTAAATCATATCAAAGACGGAGTACATCGAGATGAAATACTACATATAGTAAGGAATTACAAGCCGAATAAAATAAAAACATCTGCCCTGAAGATAAGGATAGTGCTGACAGATCAACTTCCAGTTCATTGCGCGCCGCGACGTCTCCTCCCCCGCCAGAGCAGCGTGAAATTGATAAACAGATTTCGGAATGGTTAGAGAAACAAAGGATATGCCTTTTTCCATTTATTGCAGCAATTCCACTTTTTGTTTGATAGACATCGAAACATGCTTTCGCTTTGTAGATCCTTTGGCAGCTCCAGAATCGGAAATTCTTTTTGACATAATCAAAAGTTCAAGCTTACGTTTATAAAATTGCTCTAACAGTCTGCAAAAAATAATAAGCCGGATCCAATTCGAAGATTAAGGAACAACGCAATCTGCAACATTAACTGAAATAAATAATTAGATAATTTTAGCGTAGCTTATACCGACCATTATACATTAAACGTGCATGCGTAAACGTATTATGCGAATGCGTAAACGCATATGAACATACGTAAAGGTATTATGTGCAGTGCGTTTATGTATGCGCAGAAAGTTTGTAGCTTTGAGGTCCGGATTATAGATCATTCCGGATTAAAGACTGTATTACTCTTTATTGATGACGTCATTCATGCCAACCAACTAGCATTTATTGTACGGTATGTCCAAAATGGTGCACCAGTTGAGAGCTTTTTGCAGTTTATTTATATTTTTAAATTTACTTCAGAGTATCTGATGGATGTTGTGGTTTAACTTTTGGAAAATAGCAACATTTACTGTGTGATTGTAGAGGTCAGTCATACGGCAATGTCTTGAATACGTCTGGAAAATGTTCAGGATTGCAAGCCCAACTTCAAGATTAAAAAAAAAAAAAAAAAAAATGCTGTATACATTAATTAATCATAATACATCATAATACCATGATCAGGACATTCTTTGACCATAACTGCCGTTCAAGAAATAGAATGCAACTCTAATGTAACAATTTACTTCAATTTTGTTCAAAATCTCTACTATTTTTTCTTATCATCAACCCATCATTGGGATATACTGATTTTAAATTTGAATTCTGATAAAAATAAGAATGTATTGAAAAACTTATTAAAAACATGTTGGCCTGCACGTGCAGATGCAATTAAAGCTTTACGTGAAGGGTATACAGAAATTGTCATGAGCCTTGATTGTTTAATTAATGCTGAATCACAGGGCAGCAGATACTTGACTTTAAAAAACTTGAAAAACAAGATGAATGAATTGAAAACTACTTTTTTAACTATCTTTTGAAATGACATTTGGACTCATACTGGCAAAGTGAATTTATTTGTCCAGAATAAAAATATGGATTTGTTGACAGCAGTGAAATTATTAATATCTTTAATAACATATATAAAAACTAAAAGATATTCTTTTGATTTTTATGAGTCAAAAGCCAAGGGAATATTCTTTATAAAAGAGTATCAAGTGTTCACAAGTGTGTAAGACAACATAGTGCTAGGGTAACTTTCCTTGAAGGAGATAAAGATACAGACGTAACTTTTGAAGGCAACGACAGCCAGAAAGTTAAAGTAGTAACCTTTTTACCAGTAACCGACTGTCTAATTTACAAAATACAAAAATGCAGTAAAAAGTACTGGGACGTATTTGAACTATTTGGGTTAAAAAATATTTGTAATTTGAATGAGAGCGAAATTAAAACAGCATGCTAGAAAGTATCGAAATTTTATGATAAAGATATTTATAGGAAGGAACTGAATTTAGATTGTCCACATTTCAAGTTATATCTAATAAATGACAGTGAAATATTGAAGAAAAAACAAAGAGAAGACATGGAAAAAAGGATGATTCATAAGTAACATAATTTTGCAAATGTGGATGACGATGAACAACATTTGTTGGGTGAGGAGATTGGGATTGATATCAGCACGTCTATACATACATGTATAATGAGAGACAGTGTTATCAAATATTGAAATAGTAATGAGAATTTTCTTCTTGATGATAATTACTAACGCAAGTGGTGAGCGTTCATTTTTAAATCTCAAACTGGCCAAAAAAGAATTGTGAAATCCTATGACTCGGTCTCATTTGAATAAGTTAAGTTTGATGAGTATTGAAATATTATTAACAGTTGATTTTGAAGAGATAATTAATGAGTTCACGAATTTAAAATTTAGAAAACATATTTTTTAACAAAACTTCATTTTACTATGGATATTTTATTAAATCTTACATTTAATGAAAGAAAAAGGATGCAAGTGGGGCCTACTTTTGCATAGGGGCCCAAGACCTTATCTTAGAAATCTTAAGACGTCCCTAACATATGATCATTAATTTCTAACATATGATAATCTAACATATGATATTAATTTCGTTTTGGCATTTTGCTTTGGTTCACTATAAATGTTGTCTGTTCACTTTTCAAATTGTTACCATCAAGTACTAGAGCCCTGTGTAATAGTTAAAAAAATTAAATAATGAAGAATCTGCATAAATGTCTGTATGTTTCTCATATTGTGATAAAACAACAGTACCTAGAGCCATCTAATTTTGAATAACATAATCTTTCACTAAGTATGGGCATCTGGAAGCGCACATTTGGAATTTGAAGTTTGTTTTATTATCGATTTCATATTTTGTAACACTTCAACGAATTTTTAATTAACAAACTCAACAATTTCAAAGCGAGCAATGGCAATATTGTAAGGAAAAAAGACATTTTTATCTCTAGCGCATAAGGCTCTGTATCAGAAATTCTAAAGATATGCTCATTTTAAAATTATTTTGCCATATTGCAGTTGAATTGAATTTTATAGTTTAAGTGCGAAGAACATGATATTGAACAAATAAAGGCAGCACATAAAACGTTAAAAAAACGCCCCTTTGGGCATAATGTAAAATCTGAAAGCTTTCAGTGTTTTTTTTTTTTTTTTATGAAACATGATAAATAAGTACATTGTTTATTTTTGGTAAGCTTAGAAATTATATCATACCTGTGTACTTTTCTTGGACCTTTGGTTGGGAACAGCTGATCTGTTATTCAGGAGGATTATCCTTTGTATAAAAAGGATAATAATAAATTCTTACTTATCCTTTTTATACTAATAAATACTTTATCAGATTTTTCTAGCCGTTAAATTTCTTCTGGAAAAATCGTACAGAGAATTGTTAACTTTTCTGTCCTCTGAAAACTGTGCTGTAAGCAGTTACTGTCATGCAGAAATTTTGTATATCCCTGTAAATCTAAGCAGTTGGTACTATATTTATGTTGTTTCAGCTTCTGATTTTGCAATTATTTAATTGCTTGTTTAATGTTTTGTGCCCCATCTCACCCTTTAGTTTCAGTTGTATTACATAAAGTATGCAATTAAATTTGCATATAATGATTAAGAATATAGAAGCTGAATCAGCAAATAATTATGTAAATTTTATTTTACATGGATATATATCTAAATGTTAGAAATTTGCATTTCCTACTTACTGCAGTATTGAAAAATAAAGTAATGAAATTTAATTACTATTAAGGGGAAGCAGCTAAGTCTTTTGTTTTAGAATCTTTAGTCTTGAACTACTATTAAGGGGAAGCAGCTAAGTCTTCAGTTCATCATTGGTGCTGCTGTCGCTTTTGTTCTTGCATGGTGGGTGTGCTTCTTATTGTAATCAACCAACCCTAACTAATCCATCCCAATATTAAAAACAGTATTTGGCTATTAACTGCACTATTTAGTAAGATGCAGCAAATTCTATGGCATTATATTTATTATTTGAATTTTTTAAGTGGAAGAACAGAAATTCTGATACAGTTCAAGACTCAGTTGTTTATGTGCTGGTTTATCTATGCATTTAATTTTTAGGTTTGGGTTTTGAATGCCAAATATTTAAAAACAATGGATTCCATTAAATATATCATTTATGACCTTTAGTAAAAGGAAATTTAGCAAAAAAATTTTTTTCCCTAACAATATGGCAAGGTTTTGCATTTTTCTGAATTAGTTATTGACCCTCGTTACTTTTTTCATTTATTTCTGATAAATCTTTAACCAGATTTTTCTTTAGAAAATTCTATTATTGTATTCTGTATGTATTCTGGTAGTTTAACTTTCTGTTATTTGTGATAATTTTTGTTTTTCGTTTAGAGTTATACTTAATTTTGATCCACACAAAGTGCTGCTTCAGCAGTGACCAAATAGTTAAGAACACTGAATATTGGTAGTTTGTTTTGGGTTCAAACCCAGGTTAACAGGCTGGCTGCATGGTTGCTTTTTGTGATTTTTTTCTTCATGTATAATGTGAATGCAAACCAGTTTCCTTTAGAAAGTCCTCCTGAAAGACATTCTCTCCCCAGGCAGACAGCTCTCATACTTTGCCATATTCAAATAAGCTAACCTATCCATAAAATGCTTTATCATAATGCACTTTTTTAAAAGAAAGTATGACTAAAATTTTAACTTCTAAAATTTGCTAAATGTAATTCAAGTTTTGCTAAGATAATTGTGACTAACATTCACAGTTTTTTTAAGCACATGAAGTGAATGTACAGTCTTTGATTGAATGAAGTATGCAAATTTTTGTACTTTGGGATTTTGGGCTTATGTTATTAGTGCTTAGATTATGGAAAAGAAAAGAGTCATATTAAATGTTAATTTCTCAACAAAGCAGACTTCGCATTATTAAAGCAGCCTATGTAAAAGAATAAGATGCATAAGATAGGAATATTTTTTTATTCATGCATTTGGATTATTTAATATGAACTTTTAAATTTAATTCTTCTAGGAGAAAAGAGAAGCTAAGAGTATTATGTGATTCAAAATGCAATTAATGGTTTGCAAACAATTTTTTTAAGATAAATTTATATATTAGATTATTTATACCAGAATTAAATAGGAAGTTTAAAAACTTTATACAAGAATTGGTTAGAATACTAAGATGTTTAGAAATATTTATTGCTTAAAAAAAGAGATTTTAATTGCAAACAAGTAAATATGGGTTATTATTCCTACAAGTTTAAAAATCAAGTGTTTCGATTGTGTTTTAAATGCAAGGTTACATTAAGTAGCTAAATATATTTCTCCCCTCCCAGATCTGTCTTTAGTAAATGTTACACAAATTCTGTGTATAGAAGGTCAATAAGTAAATTAAATATTTAGCAAAATTTCCTAAAATAATTGAAACATTGTATACTGTTTTTATAATTTTGATTTGCCTTACCAAATGGTTAATTAATAAAAATACTATTCAGATGTCTATTATTATTACTGAAGCATATCTAGCATTTGAACTGTTTCTTTCATGAGATTTTATGTGAATTTTTGTAAATTGAAGTATGCAATGTGATTGAAACATTTTTGGGCGCCAAGAAAGATGAACAGTATATATGCTTAAATGTATTTCAAAGTTTTACTCACAATATTATGAAATGCATAAAAATCGTTAAAATGTAATATGTGTAAACTTATGTATTTGAAAAGTTACATGCAATTTGCATACATATTATGTAGGTTGGAGATGAATGCTTAATAGCTCCATTAGCTTTGTTTCATCCAGAATTGTTTGGAATGACTGGTCCAAAAAAAGTACGAACTCAGCCTAGGAGTGAAGGCTTGTCTGAGGACCCTCATGATGAGTTGTATCTAATACAGACACAGGTAATTATTTTTTATTTTAATAATCTTATTTACAAAATTAAGTTAGTATTCATATATTGTGACATTATGAAAAGGTACGAAATGACACCATGGGTATAATTGATATCTTTATTTGCAAATAATTAGAAAAGGCCTGAGCACAACTATGTCATTGTTCGCAAGCTGAAGGATTACCTGTTCCCAGATTTCCTGTGACTGTGACTAGAGCTAGTCCTCCATTGTGTTCTTCAGTTCATCATCTGTGTTGAAATGCTTCACTTTGAGTTTATAACATACCAAACATATGGAAGTTAAGAACATAAGGGTAAATGTCTGAACCAAACATAAGGGTAAAACCAAACATAAACATGTATGAACCAAACATAAGGGTAAAATGTCTGGGCTGTAGGGTGGGTGCTCAAGCTGCTCTCACTTGAACTTGGCCATTACACTTTGTGTGACTTTGAAGACGTGTGATGCACATTATCGTGGAGCAGAATCACTTGGTCCATGAGCAACGCAAGCCATTTGCTCTTGATGGAATTGCATAGGCTACACAGTGTCTCACAGTACACGTCACTGTTAATGGCCTTTTCCCGTGTTCGAGGAATTCGGTGAGTGTTGGACCTTGGACGAAAGATAGTGAGCATCTCCTTGTCTGTTGAGAGTACAGTGTGATTAAGACACAAAAACACGCCGAATAAATACTGATTCAGAAGTCAAACAACAAAAATCAGCGTTAATTCACAAAATTTTCACAGGACTAGTTTCGATGGTTTTACCGAACCATCATCTTCAGCTGCAAAACCGCAAATGAACAAGATAGGAAATAATGTTTAGATAAGATAAGAAAGCCTGGACAAGAATAAGCAAGTGGCGCCATCTGTTGGCGAAACCAGAACTAAAACATAATTTCTCTAAAAGCCGAAGGCAAATTGGATTGGAATTAGGATCGTTAACTAGAACAGAAAGATTTTATGAATGTGAAATGCCTCTAGAAAATCCAGTCTCCAATGGAAGATGTTTTTGAATAATTTGGCAGCAAAAATTGAAAGTGTGATTTTCGGACCAACAATGTTGAGCAACAGAAGACTTCTGTGTTTCCTTTTTTCTAACATATGCCTCATGTTCTTTGACGCGAATTTAAGGCTCTCTTAGTTTGGCCAATGTAAATAAACCGCACTGGCAAGGAATCCTATAAAATACCCCAGGAATTCATATCCGGAATGGGGTCCTTGAGTATAGAAGTTGGAATTTTATTGATGGGAGAGTAAACAACCCGAAAGTTAAATTTCTGCAAAAATGTGCAACTTTATAGCTAATTGATGGAAAGAAGGGAACAACAGAATTTTATAATCTCCTAAAATAAGAGTGTGGCTTTAGTGTGTTGAGATGAGAATTTTTAACTGCTTGATTATAATGTTGGGGTGAAAAGCCCCTGTCAATAGCTATGCTTTAAATAATTTAGTTCTCATCAAGGGCTAGTTTGGAGGAGCAAACTTGAAGAGCACGGAAAACATAGGAATAAAATGAAGCTAACTTTTGTTAGTCGGATGACATGATTTAAAGTGTGGTGGAAGGCAAACCGATGAAGGTTTACGGTAAACTGTAGTACTGAAGTTGGATGTGTTACGTGTGACCAGAATGTCGAGAAACGGAAGAGAATTGCAAGTCTCAAGTTCAAAAGTGAACTGAATAGCAGGATCAATAGAATTCATTGTTGAAAGAACTCTATTTAAATCATCTTTATTACCTTCAAACAGGGTAAAAGTATCGTCTACGTAGCGGAACCATGCCGGGAAGTTTAAAGTTTCAAACAATTTTGATTCATAATAATGCATGTAGATATCAGCCAGGATGGGACTGAGGAGGCTGAGGGACTGAGGACTGAGGGGGCCATGGGAAGCCCCCTCAGTCCCATCCGGCTGATATCTACATGCATTATTATGAATCAAAATTGTTTGAAACTTTAAACTTCCCGGCATGGTTCCGCTACGTAGACGATTTTACCCTGTTTGAAGGTAATAAAGATGATTTAAATAGAGTTCTTTCAACAATGAATTCTATTGATCCTGCTATTCAGTTCACTTTTGAACTTGAGACTTGCAATCTCTTCCGTTTCTCGACATTCTGGTCACACGTAACTGTACTACAGTTTACCGTAAACCTTCATCGGTTTGCCTTCCACCACACTTTAAATCATGTCATCCGACTAAACAAAAGTTAGCTTCATTTTATTCCTATGTTTTCCGTGCTCTTCAAGTTTGCTCCTCCAAACTAGCCCTTGATGAAGAACTAAATTATTTAAAAGCAATAGACAGGGGCTTTTCACCCAACATTATTAATCAAGCAGTTAAAAAATTCTCATCTCAACACACTAAAAGCCACACTCTTATTTAGGAGATTATAAAAATTCTGTTGTCATTCCTTCTTTCCATAATTAGCTATAAAGTTGCACATTTTGCAGAAATTTAACTTTCGGGTTGTTTACTCTCCCATCAATAAAATTCCAACTTCTATACTCAAGGACCCCATTCCGGATATGAATTCCTGGGGTATTTATAGGATTCCTTGCCAGTGCGGTTTAATTTACATTGGCCAACTAAGAGCCTTAAAATTTCGCGTCAAAAGAACATGAGGCATATGTTAGAAAAAGGAAACACAGAAGTCTTCTGTTGCTCAACATTGTTGGTCCGAAAATCACACTTTCAATTTTCTGCTGCCAAAATTATTCAAAAAACATCTTCCATTGGAGAAACTGGATTTTTCTAGAGGCATTTCACATTCATAAAAATCTTTCTGTTCTAGTTAACGATCCTAATTCCAATCCAATTTGGCCTTCGGCTTTTAGAGAAATATTTTAGTTTTCTGGTTTCGCCAACAGATGGCGCCACTTGCTTATTCTTGTCCAGGCTTTCTTATCTTATCTAAACATTATTTCCTATCTTGTTCATTTGCGGTTTTGCAGCTGAAGATGATGGTTCGGTAAAACCATCGAAACTAGTCCTGTGAAAATTTTGTGAATTAACGCTGATTTTTGTTGTTTGACTTCTGAATCAGTACAGTGTGAGTTTTTTAGGGAGGAGTGAGAAGGGAATGGTATAATTCGCCGTGGCCATTTCGCCATTGGGACATTTCACAGTCAAGACATATTTTTCTTTACACGACTGCATTATATCTTGCCGTATTATATTAAGTTGATTTAGTTTATTAATTCTTTTTAGTTAAATATTTAATTTAATAAACATTTTACATAAAATAATGTATAAGATGTTTTCGTGTAAAATTTTATACAAATACATCATTACACATGACATATTAATTTTAAGAGAGTAATGTGCTGACGGTTGTTACATATGACATATTAATTTTAAGAGCGTAATGTGCTGACAAGATTCCAAAGTAATTCTGTTTCCCATTCAGATTTCATAAAAATGTAAATGTTCTACTTATATGAGTGATTTCTCTGAACTACCCGATTAAAATGTAAAGAAATTTTGAAGAATTATGTGAATATTGCACCTGCATAATTTTAAAATCGATAATATAACTTCTGTTATATTAGAGGTTTAGCCCCAGTTCTCTTTGATACTGACATAATTTTCCAACTAAACTATGTGTAATTTCTTTATATCTCATACTTGTAGACAACTATATATATATTACAAGCAATCTATATTAAGTATACAAAAGGTAAACAGAATTGTTAAACTAAATAAATTTAATGCGAGCATAATATGGCAAGATATAATACAGTCATGTAAAGAAAATATGTCTTGACAGCGAAACAGCCACGGTGAAGTGGCGATGGTAAAAATTCCTATGCTTCCATTGCATATTGTCCCACTTTGTCTCTGGCTTTAAGTGATGGCACCAGCTCTTGTCACCGGCAATGATTCATGCCAGGAAAGCAAGGTCTTCACGATACCGGAACAGGTGTTGTAGTGCTAGTTCACAGTTCCTTTTGCGATTGCTGAGCTTTTTTGAAATCCACTGTGCGCACACCTTCTAGTAATCCAAACTGTCATGCGCATTTGTCCACACTGTTCCAACGCTGGCTGTTACAATCACTGCCAGCATTTGCATTGTGACACACTGATTACTTCTCACCTAGTCGTTGACTTTGTCGATGAGTTTGTCATGTTTGGCTGGCCTGATCTTCTTGGGTTATCACTTAAACACTCCCAGCCTTCATGAAAATAAGCACTCAACTATCTCACTGACTTGCCAGACACACAGTCTCCCTTGTATACAACGACCAGCCAGCGATGAACATTGGCTGGTTTAACTCTTTATGCAGTCAGAAATCCATTAACATCTCACTACTCCTCAGTCATCAATTTTTACATTACCATGATGTCTTCACACACTGCCACATCAATTGGACAGAACACACAAGTGCCTACTTCTCTCCTGCATCATGCGTGGGTGCCCGCCCATGCACACAACCATGCTGGACAGTATATTTGTGTCCCTAGATGTCTCACTCATTGCAAAGTGACATATTCAAATTTCAACCTGTTTGGTTGTTAAGAAGTTTCGTATGTTTTCATTTGAACACTCTTCATATCATTTGTATATTTTTAACAGCTATAAATTTATATATGTGTAGCTAGGTTGAATGCCGACATCTAAGTTAGTGGTCATAATAGAAAGTATCTGGCAAACAGTCTGTCTAAAACAGGGATGGGCAAACTTTTTCGGTCGCGGGCCACAAATCGATAAAAAAAAGTTTGGCGGGCCAACATAAATTTTTCTAAAATTTTAAAAACAATATACAAGTATTACAATTTAAATATGTTAACGAGATGAATGAAATTGCGATTTAATTTTTAAAAGTTCCTTATATTGAGCTTCGAAGTGAGATGTACTGATTCTAAGGAACGAGGCTAAATGCTCATCAGTCTGTCTACTTCTGAAATAATTCTTTTCCAAGGTTTATACTTGAAACACTTGTTCACACATATAAGATGAAGTAAACATAGCACTGATTTTCTGGGCGTGAGATATTAAATTTGGGAAACTTACGTTCGATAATGATTTGTAAAACTCTAACTTTGGCATATTTAGAAACAACTGCTTGAGATGATTGTTAGATTGCAACTCAATTAATTCAAGCTGCAAATCTGAACACACTACTTCACAATTTATGTTGAAAGATATGGTAAAAATATCCACTTCTGTTTGAACGGCACTGAAATTTTGCGATCTGGATACTGTTAATCTTCTTATAAATATTTTATCAGCCAAATAATTTTTTACAAAGACTTTCTGCATTTTGTTTGCTTTCATATTCTTCGTAACTGGAATTCTTATGCTTAAATTATGTGAAATGAAATTATGTGAAATGACGGGAAATGTTATATTCCTTGAAGACTGCTTCAGCTTCATTGTGCATGAGACACACTGGTTTATCTTTTACAACTGTAAAAAATATTTCCAGGTCCATTCATCATTAAAAGCACGGCACTCTGAATCAACTTTACGTTTATTAGTAGCCATTTCGGGGTTTAAATATTTTATGAATAACCCAAACAAGCACTAGCTACGCTATACTTTTAATAATTTCACCACCATTCACAATGATGCTATATGTCCACAATCTTTCCATACGCAATGAATAATATTAGACCTCGCGCCAAAAGAAAAGGCCGCTGGCTGGAGCTTAAAATGCGCAGTCTGCCACATGTGAAATCTAACTCATTTACACTAGATTCCCATATGTCTGCTTCCCGAGAAAGCGATAACGCTTGTTTGCGCCAATCTACAGCTATAACTAACAAAGAACTTCCCGCTTTTAACACTTTACGGATTGAAAGCTGTCTGTGCTTGCTATTTCCGTCAATTTATGTTTTGTAGAACAAAAATATAGAAAATAAAAAGATCATCAGTCTTTTGGGAAAGAAGAAAAAAATAATATTTAAACGAAGTAGAAAAGGAGATGAATATATAATATATAAATATGTATTTCTTTTAATTTGCTTTGGACCGGCAAATTAAAATTCTATCCGCGGGCCGGATAGAATCTTCAGACGGGCCGGTTTTGGCCCGTGGGCTGTAGTTTGCCCATCCCTGGTCTAAAATGTTATAGGTTGAAAATTGTGACTCCTTCCTTTTCCCCCTTTTATCCCTATATCAGGATCAGTAGTTTCTTTGCTATGCATTATTTTTGCTTAATCCATTTGACTGTTTGTAACTGCATTACATAAAATGTTTGTTAGAAATAAAGCCAACATGTGGTAGAAAAAAGCATGTGATGTTATACTATGTTAAATAAATCAGTTTAGACGAGCTAAAAAAATTAGCCAAAAACTGGGGAGGGAAATGGAGTGTATGATTACAGCTGTATTTTCTTGAAAACTAAATTTGTTACGATTGCTTTCATACTAACTAAACACAAATGTTGCCTAAGGGAATTAATTTGGAAAGCTAGTCCTGCATTAGGTATGAGGATCAGTGCTTAAAAAAATGGGCCACTTGAGTCCCATTATAGTGAAAACCAGAAAATTTTCTGCTATTACAGAAACAAGGAGCAGTGTGATGCATTGGAAGTAGGCTGGTCTTGTAATTTGTGTTATCATAACTGTAAGTGGTATTATTTTTTAATTGTTATTGTAAATTAATATAGATATTTTTCCGTCAACCAAATTTTAACTTCTGTAGACTTGAAGAGGTGGTTAGATTCTTGTTCATTTGATATCACTTGTAACACAACCTTATTTTGCATATTATTTTTAGTTTGATTCACAGGATATGGAGTCCATATATTTTGATTATTTCAAATGTAATAGTGTAAAAGTCATATATATATATATATATATATATGATACAAAAGAGAACACACAGTGGCACTTGAGATGGTTGATATTCACCATAGATATTGGTTTATAGATAAAAACAGGAGTTTAATTAAAAGTTACATGATGAGCTGTACAAATGCTTTTCCACTGCTTCTTCTTCTTGGGGGGGGGGAATCAGCTGTCTCTTAGTAGGCAAAAGGGATGAGAATAAATATAAAACTATAAAAAGAAAAGAGTTTCAAGAATATCAGAGAAAAATTATAATGAATATTAATTACATTATAATTTGACTGCTGACATTTAATACAGATTGGCACAATGCCGCATGAATTGTGGATTTTTTCTGCCGATGTTATTATCTTCAGACTGCACATTGAAACTTTGAGTATTGCAATTAATGGAAATGAATCACATGTTTCTGCTTCCTTTGCTGTAATCAGAAAGCAGAGTATACAAACAAGCAAAATTCAGTACTGAGTAAGTATATTGAGTAAATGCTTATTGTAATTACATAATTCAAGATGACAGTAATTGCTTTATGATTTATTTGCTTCATAACTTATATAGTTGTTGATAAAATATTATTTTGTTTAGGATGAATAAAAAGCAATTCTTGCAGTGTTTTTAATTAACATTTAAAAATAATATTTAGTAATTGGCATCCATGGTTTGCCTTACAGAGAAAAATCATAGCAGTTTCATCTAGGTTATTCTAGAAGTGGTACTTTGCTTGGAACTCTTTCATGGAAATTTGTAGTGTAATCTGAAATACTGCAGCTCATAATAAGGCAAAACTCTTGTAATGCAGGCCTATTATCAAAAAATGTACTTGTTATTCTCCTGTACTATTGATGATGAGAAGGCACAAGGGCAAGTAGCAAATTTGAAAACATCTATTGCTTTACTTCTCATTCATCATGGAACATAATGATAGTCTCTATTCAGTTGTAATTTCCAAAACTAACGAGCGTTTTTTATTGATACCTAAATATTATGAAAATATGCATGCAGATCAAAAGGAATTTAGATTTGTTGATACTAAAGAAATAATTAAATTGTTTTTCAACTTGTCAATCAAATATAATTTTTAATAAAAAGAAATGAAAGGGCAAATATTTGATTAACTTGATATAAATTTAGAAAAAACAGTTTTTGTACAATATGCGTAATATAATCTAGACTTTTGTATTACAGAACTTATCTGTTTGTTAGAGCAAAGAATTAGATTTTGTTTACAAATGAACTGAAATTAATACTTCATTTAAAGCTTGCTGCTGTTTAAAAGATGGAATTGGGGAGAGATGGTTTTGTTTTATGAACTAGTGCATACTGTAGTAAAAGCCTAAATCAACAATCCTCTGGACCAGGAATGGATTAATCTATTTTATACTAACTTCTGTGGGGAAAATAATTTCCGTTTACAAACATTTCAGGTGACGGACAGCTTTAAGGAATGAATTAAATTACCAAGTTAAGGTTTCACTGTAATTTGAAATTTATTAATTTCAATATTTAAATTATTTAGTGTGTTCATTTATATGTCTTGATTTCAGAGACGGGGATTTAAGGACACAAGTGAGGGACCATCTGAGCAAACATATTCTGATGATGCACATTTGAATTCAAGCATTTTAGATGAAGATATGGATTCAACAGATCCTTCTACCAGTATTAGTGCAAGAGATGCTGATCAAGATATAAACTGTGATCAGCTTTTCGGAATAGATCAAGCTATTGTTCAAAGCATAGAGCGCTGTGGTAAGATTTGATTCTATATATCTAAATCTAGATCCTAATCCTGATCTTTACAAATGAGGAAAGTTAATTGCTTTCTCACTGCTCTTCTCAGTCTGAAATATGAATAGATATTTATGAAAATATGGGCTTTATGCACCTCAAACTTTATGAAACAGAAATGGAACATTTGTAGCTTATATTTTTACACCGATCACCAGAAACTATTTTTATTAATATTATTAATCAAAACATTATGTAAGTAAAATGCAGCAAAATAATATAAAAAGTAAATAAAAATTTTAAGAAAATGTGAAAATGCAGTAGAAATGTATAAATGTCAAATATTTATAATTTTTATAACTGTATATGTGTATATTTGTTGGTAATATCTCTGTACTGTCACATGCTTCTCAAATCTTTTAGTATTAACTTTTTATGACATCTCATTATTTCCATTAGTATTATTTTTCAATCAAATCCAAAGCATTTGAAAATAAAAAATGAATATGTGAGTTGACAAGTTATTAGATGACTTAGTAACAGAAATGTGTTCACAAGAAAATAAACTAAATTAGGTAATAGTGTATCCAGACAGTTGTAAATGAATTAATGAAACTTTTCATTTCTGTTAAAGCAGCCTGAATCATATTCATAATATGCAAATGATGATAAATATAGCTTTTGCTTATTTTTCCTTTTGTTTTATTAAAAAAAGTTTTTTTGATAATCATATAGCAAAGGTATTCTCAGGACCACAGATAGGCATATTTACTTTATACATTATTATTTGTGAATTTTTTGAAATTATACTATGATTGAGTTGAATTATGGTTCTAAAAATTTCATTCATAATAGGTGACTTATGGTTCCATTGTGCAGTATGATGTCAAAAATTACTCACCTGAATGTTAGGATAACCACATGGTAAAAATAACAGTCATATAAGACAGTAAAGTTATGGTTATCATTTGAGGAGAATAAGAATATCCTAAGATTTGGGTATACTGTAGAAGTATCATGACAATAGAAACGTAAGTTTGTGTCAGAATCTCCAACACATATGCACACATTCATGCTAAGTTAATTGTTACAACCATGGTACTACATGATACAATAAAATACAGGAAGATTTGGAAAGCAACAAATCATGTTTCTTTGGCTATATTGTTGTAACAGATTACGATACTCACTATAGGCAAATAGTATGCATGGGGGATAGGTATTAGCTGAATGAATATGCAACACATTCTTAAAATATCGAAATGGAAAGTTTACATACAAAGATTATTATATGCATTTATTGAAGTTAATCCTGATTAAATAATGCAGTATTGTGAGTGATTTCAACATAATACTCAAAAAAGAGGCATTTGTGAGAAAAATGGTTATGTTTGATAAAGCAAAATCAAAGCTGAATGGAGGGATGGGTTGGCATTAATTTCATGATGATCTTTCATGTCGACAAGGCGGTTAATTTATTTGAGCTGACTGTGTTTGGCATGCATTATCATTTAGTGATTTAATGGGACTTTTTTTTTTCTAGAAGGTACTTAGCTGACCAAATGTATACTAAGCACATCTATTTTATTTACCATTTATGCATGAACAGTTGCTTTTCCAACAAGAGTTCTGCACCATTTTGCTGGATGTGAGGGCTTCTGTCAATGAAAACTTGTTGGTATGACAGATGGAATGAAAATGCAGCTGATGTCCTGCATTCTCCCAATTTATTATCCCTAGACAGTTATATATATTTGAGTGACTGCAAAATATATGATGTGTTATAGAAGCCAACAGAACACTAATTATGAGGAAAAAATGATACGGCATTTGCAATATCATCTTAGCACTCTGGCCAAAATTTACTGAAGCAGTAGTTAGGTATTTTTAGAAATGTTTGGATGATTATCTCAAATACTCTGAGTGTATATTGTAATTACTGAAGTCAGATGTGACTTGTGTTCATCCCTTGATGTCTATATATAATTATTATTACAATTTTTTATGACTTTTTCTTTTGTTGAAATGCGTGTATGCTTTTTTGCCATTTCCATAATGTTAAATTTGTTATCATGTGAAATAATGTTTCATACGATTTAATGTTTTATTTGAAATTTTTTTAACAGACTCTGATGAGTTGAAGATGAAAATGTACAGCTGCATTTTAGTGGTTGGTGGTGGCATGATGTTTAATGGTATCCATACATGGTTACGTAATAGGCTGCAAGTGCAGATTCCTGTAATGTTCAGAAGTGAACAATTTGAAATAATAACTAGGCCTAAAGTAAGATTTCATTTCATTTATTTGCAAATAAATTTAAAAATGCGAAATTTCTAAATGAACACAGTTTTAATAATATTGATTTTTCTTAGATTTTAAGCCCTGTCATAAAACAGTTCTAAATTTATTAGTATTAAAATTATTTTAGTATACTTGTTTAAAAGTAGTGTTTCAAAAGCTTTAGACCACAGACAATACTATATGGAAAATACCTGAAAAAAATTCATAAACTATGAGGTAGTTGCATGAATTTTAGTTAATTAAATGTAATGTTTGATTTTAATTTAGTATTTCCAACATTGTTGTGTTGCATAAAAAATAAAATTTAATTTCCTTCCTTAATTTTGTTATGGAAATGAAAAAAACATGTGTATTTGTTATGTTATGCATTAGGATAGAACATAAAATGTATTTAATAGTAATAATAATATTGAGAATAACAATAGTAAAATCCAGTCTTCAGGTCTGAGAAAAATTATGCTTAGCTTTCAAGAGGTAAACATTTGATGAGGAAAATAAGGTTAACTAATAAGTTAAATTACTTCATTATTAAAATCTGAAGGAAAAATGTTGGCTGTATTTGATTGGGGGTGCACCTTTCTTGGAGGATAATTTTTTTTTTTAATGTAAACAATTTATGTCTTTGTACTATGCGAGAAAAATTACAAAAAACATCATGCAAACTTTCTCATTCTAAGCATCAGTTTATGAAGAGAATACTTATAAAAGACTTAACCACACCACTAAATGAAAACAGTATAAAAAGCATGGCTTAGCTATTTTTATTATTAATGTGTAAAATATTGCTGTTGTGGTACATATTAGAATGGAAACAGTATATTCTAATTAATCATGCATATTAACCTGGGGAATCGAATTATATGTCCTTTTTTTTTAGAAATATCAAAGCAATCGATATTTTTCACTCTTGAATATTTATAAAGAATATTTTATTCCAGTTCATTAAATGATTTCTGATCTCATTCTGTATGAGAAAAGTATATTTTATATAGAAATAGATCATTTAATCAAGGCATAGCCTACACTGATTATCTGTCATACAGGCACATTTTCTTTTGAATGTAAATGATTCTTTTCCCCTTCCTTGCATTCCTTTTGTTTCAAGTATCAACAAATTTTAAATTGGCATCATTTCATTTTTTAGATATTACAAACACATGTAAAATTTTTTAGATATTACAAACACAAACACATGCTGTTTATTTCAGCATATAATGTTCACCATGTATTTAAATGTTTAGTTATATTCACCGTATAATGGCGTATATTCGCCCTTTTCATTGCGAAGAAACCTGAAAAATACATGTGTGATGCTGTTATCTTTTAAAACTCTTCATTCGAAATTTTTCGCAGGCTTTCAAATAATTGTATGCTGAATTGACAGGTAATAAAGGAAACAATATGTACTGTAAAGGCCTTTATTTTCATGAGGCTTTAATTTTCACGATTTTCGTGAGCCTGTCGTAATCGCGAAATACTTTTTTTTCAACTTTCTCACCTTTACTTAGGTTCTTTTCAAAAATTTCAACGTTCGCTTCTGTTCATATAAAATTCGTGAAATTTTCAGCTCGCGAAATCACCAATATATTAATTGTCGCGAAAATTACGGCCCGTGAAAATAAGGGCCTTTACAGTATGTGGGGTAAATGCTTGAGGGAGCAAATAATTCTGCAAAGAAGGTGAGTTGTATAGCATGTGTGCACAAGAATGTTATTCTAGGCTTTCTAGAAAAGGGTGAAATAGTATGAGATACGAGTGTACTCCCATTTGAATGAATTCTCGGAATTAGGAGTCGGATGTTTTCTCTTTCTGCAGTCTTTTGAAGCCGTGATTTTGAGGTGAACATCGAAGGCTTTAGTAAATCGCATTTGCTCTAGCTGAAATGCAGTTGATATAGTGTTCCTTTAAGTAGTAAATATAGCTCCTGTCAAACGAAACATAGTGCTGGTTTCAAAGTCAATTCCAGTTTGTGAAAGAAAATGGAAATCATTCTACAGCAAAGATGTTGGTGTTGGTGAAAGCTCCATGTGTAAGTAGAAGAAAAATGATATCACAATAATTAGTATACCAAAGAATAAATGTGCTATGCGGAAAGGACTAAAAAAATGGCCTATCCTACCTAGAATAAACTGTTGCAAACTATGTCTTAGAAAATCACTATTTTTAGGCACATGTAGAAATCAAATTTTTAGATGCTATTTTTTCTCTTATTTTTAAATTTATCATTTTTATATCTGATGTATAATAATGCGCACCCGTAAATTTTGATCTCATTGTTTGCATTAAAAGTGTGCTTCATACACTGGAATATACAGTATATGTATTGTTATGAATTTTGTATACTGCGAAAAAAAAGGGACAGTTCTACATCTCCTGTTCTACTAGGCTGATTCATGAAATTCAAATTGCGGTTTTCACGTCTTAAAAGTGTGACTTAGTATGTATATTAGATTTATATATAGCATTGCTCTAATATAAGTATTTTCACTCAAAATCGGACTTTTTCTGAAATGACATGCCAATTTTTTTATGCCTAAATATTAAATTTTGTAAAATTTGGTGCAAAATCTGTGGAGAAAGTCAAAAATGTATCTTGCTGCATTTTTTTCAGTTTGCACCAAAAAAATTCACTTGGCGAACTTCTTAATATATGGCAACCTATTTTCCTTTCCCTTTTTACATTGTGCACGAGGGGAAAAAGATCACATTGTTCCTACTTTCAAATAATTTTAACAAAGTGCCTAAACCACATTTGATGTTTTATTGCTTTCAACAAATATGCCAAATTTCGAAACGTGCCAATATATAAATTCTTGTATACTTTCAGAAATTTGAATACAAAACTCTAATTTTTTGCAGGTATGCTTAAAAATATATCTACTTTAAGATGATGGTAAAATTTTATAGATATAATTCAAATTAAAAAAAAAAAAAAAAAAAAAAAATTAAATTACAAATTTAAAAAATAGATCATAAAAACTAAGTGAATTTTATTTAGAATGAACTAAAATTTCGAAATGTGAAAAGAATCAAATAAGTTAAATAAAAAAAAAAAAAAAAAAGAGAGATTAATAAATATATGTCAAATTCAATTAACATTGAGGAGCTAATTTTTTAAAACGTTACTCGTTCGATTTTTACAAAATTTGGTAGTTTGGCATAATTTGAGTCGTATAATCAAAATATGGAAAAAAAAACTGGCATGCCATTTTAGAAGTCTGATTTTGTGTCAAAATACCTATATTAGAACAATGCTATATATAAATCTAATACATATCCTAAGTCGTGCTTTCAAGACATGAAAAACGCAAGTTGAATTTCGTCAATCGGCCCAGTAGAACGGGAGATATAGAACTTCCCTCCTTTTTTTTTTGCACAGTGTACATATGCAGATAATTCTGGTGATATTATATATATGAAATTCTTGTAATTTTTTTTTATTTCTTATTATCTAACATGAAAACTTAAAAAGGAAATGCTTTGCTGAGAAAGTAAGAATGCAGAGAGAAGTCTATGTAACATTGAGTAAATAGCTGTTTTGCTAAATTGGTGAGATAATGAGAAGTTGGTGATGATTTTGGCGGCTAATTTTTATCACCAAATTTGGCAACATTTTTGTCCAATCCCTGTCTGACTGTAATGAGTATTGTAATTTAATAACTGTAATTAATCTATATATGCAACTGTAACCGTATCTGGCCTCATATGCCTTCTAGTAATTTCAAGAAGTACTAGAAATTCCTTGGTGGCTGGGTGAAAACTATATAGAAACAGAGAGAGCATCTGCTCTCAGTTGTTGTTAGTTCAGAGCTGAAGTCAGAGTATTGAGAAAGCCGAGAGAGTTTAGCCTTTTAGATGCACTTTGCTCTGTATTGTGTTTAATGTCCTTAGTAGTTTGAAGTGCAACTACTGATTGTATTCTGTGATGCTGTGAAGAGTTGTATGGGTATTTTTGTGGAAAGTTCCAGAACTGTGAAGCGTTCTTTTTAGTAAAAATTTTATTAAGCTATCATTGGTTCTGTGTGCATTCAATCTGTCAGGAACCCTTACACATGCAATCGTATTTTCCTCCTTCTTTTTCATAAGAAAATCCTGAAATAAAGAGAGTGGTATATTTAAATACATTAATATTTCTAAAAAATATAAATAATTTAGATGTTTATAGTGACATAAATGTTACATATTTAGCTAAATTAAATGTATTTTTAGTTAAATGTATGCTGAAATTTTAACACCAAATTTTAAATGCAATATTCAATAAAAAGTTTTTGAAATAAGTATTTATCTATTAAATTAATTTAAAGTTATTGATATCATTTATGTCATTTCAGGATATGGATCCTCGAGTAACCGCTTGGAAAGGTGCTGCTCTTATGAGTTGTTTAGATACAGCTCAAGAACTATGGATTAAACAGAAAGAATGGTTAAAATATAATGTAAAAATATTGAGAGAGAAGGCACCATTTACGTGGTGATTTGTAAATAAATTGTACATATGTATTATGTGTTTGTCATTTCACTCGCCTATTATCTTGTTTTCTACATATTAGTTAATTATGGCATTAAGATCATTTTACCTCACACTTTTAGGAAGTGCAATTTTTTTTTAATGTTTAATTACTTTAATTTTTTTTAATGGTTTGATTAAGTACAATTTTGTTTTGTGTGTGTGCGTGTGTGAGAATTTGTAGAGGTGTCAAAATATTTTTAATTTATAAAATAGTGTCTGAGCGAGTAGAAATGACTGAGAAGAAGGTAGATTGTTTTTAGCATAGTCATTATAGAATTAGAAGAAAGTACTAGATTTTATTCTGATGTCTGTTCCATCAGAATAAAATTTAGTACTTTAGTACCTTTTTTAATAATCATGAGTAATTCAAGAAACATACTGCATTGCAAGAGAGAGTAATTAGTATCAGCAAAACTGTATTGCGCTGGTACAAGTTGTGATAAGTCTGTTAACTCTAAAGCTACCATAAATTTGTTTCACCAATAAAAACAACTAAAAATTTGTTAAATTAACAGTTATTGGTAGTTCTAGTGTTAAAATAGTGTTTTTAATTAAATTAATTTTTTTAAAGAAAATGCATAGTCTTCTATTTCTGTCCATTTGACGGTGTCCATAAGTGTACATATGCAAATATGTCTGTAAACCTAGTGTTAAAAGAAGACACTTTGGCATTGGTATAAAAGAAAGAGCAGCAATTTTTTATTTCAATGTTAGACTCGTTTTATTCGTTTTGTTAAAAATTCCATGCAGATACACTTTATATCACTCATCCTTCTTATTTAAACAGTTGCCAACACATTATTTTGATCCATTAAACATGCTGCTATGTCTGCACCCAATTCCATCAAACATGTCAATGCTTTTTCTCTGGGCAACCACCTTATTTTAAATTTGAATCAGGAGAGACTTATTGTAGCTTCTCATATTTAACTTGAAGACCTTGTTTGCAAGAGCTCACAATTTTACATAGTTTATTATCTTATGGTCCCATTCAACATTATCATAAGAATATTACAAACTCCATATTCAGGTAGCTTTCTTGTTATTATTAATTTTTTTTTTTTCTATTGGGGGTCCTTCTCCGCACTATACCACTTCTGTCAAGTTTTGCAAACAATGTTTGAGAGAATCCACAAATTCAGAAATGATTTCTTTCATAATCCAAAATAAATGTAAAGCAAATAAAAATTTTAAAATAAAGACAGATACTTATCTACTTGAAAACCGATAAAGGTAATTGAGTCATGAATAATGTATGTTTTTTTATCAGAAATGTATCACAGTAGTTAGAAATGCATTTGTGTGTCTTGAGCAAAACAAAACTCTTTGTCGGTAAACATTTATTGTTGCCAAATTAAACTTACACGCAAAAAAATTTGCAAAAACATCTCTAAGAACCCCCAATTTTATTGTTTTGAAAATTTGTTGCGAGCTGACTTCAAATCGACTAGGCAGACTCTATTTGGGACTGAGCTTCGAGAAGCTCAGCAAATTCCAAGAATTTTTGAAGAGTCGAGAATAACTGAGAAACTTTTCGAATGTGCAGTTTCAAAAAATCGCTGAGATTTTCATTAAATTGTGGCATATGTTAGAATGTGTGGAAAAGGCAAATGCCATGTCAGCTTCACATCTGTTCGTTTTGAGTTAGAATAATTCTGGAGCTAGAGACAACCGAATGACCAAGCGTTATCAATTAGAGAAGGTATGAAATTCAGCTTCACAAATTTCCTTTCCGATGACTTTGTTTTGCTGTCTGCTGACCGGGACATCCATATTATCCAGGATTCGCCTAACATTGCCCTTGACGCCCTTGGTCAGAAAACAGTGAAATGATTATAAATACAAGTAAGACAATATTTCAGGTTTTTACTCTCAGTACCACACCTTAGAGATAAAATTATTTTATGGAGACCATCAGCTGCACAGGACTCGAGAGGTTAACTTGCATGGGAATTGTTTAGGATTCCAGGCTATGTTGGCATAAATAAGTCAACAGGATATTGGATATAGGCAACATGAGAAATAAATTGCTTAAAAGGTTTATTGGTCTAAAGTGAGGTACTACCCAAGATCTGCCTCTTATAAATCTTATATTAATCCTGCTCTCGAATGTGGTCAGGAAAGTTTCATAACCACTTTTGAGTCAATATAGAACAGAGTCGAAACTACTCAAAATAATGCCATGAGAATCCTCACTGGTGGAGCATTTTTTACTTCTATCCAGGCCATGCAGTGGCAAACAAATATTGAGCCTCTGACTCCTGGAAGGAAAATAAGTGCTCTCAAGTTGGTCGAGAGATTGCGGAGCAAATGTTAAATCCCAACCTACCTTTTTACTTGTGACAAATGAATTGTTTAATTTTTTTTTTTTTTTTTTTTGATAGCGTTTCTTTTAAGAGACAGTCACTACTTGAGATTGGTATGTTTCTAAGATATTTGAACTCGGCAAATTATAATTTAGACTTAATTCTGCCAGCCAGTAAAAAATCCTACACTGAGACAGAATTAAGTATGGCTGCTTTGGACCCTATTGGAGAAAGATTTTCAACAGTGCAATGGTTGCATGTGTACAGCGATAGTTCTACTATAGGTGTGAATAGTAATGCTGGTGCTGGGGTTTACTTTTGGCACTTTAGAGGTGCTGTTGGTACAAATTGTACCAGCTATGATATTGCAGTGTCTGCTGTCCAACTGGCCTTGACTGAAATTAGTAAAGGTGATGATCAGAAAATTGTGATATTTATTGATTCACAGGCCACTATAAAGCAGTCTGTCTAAGTCTGTCTTAGGACCCCCCCCCATCCCGAAAAAAAAAAAAAGGTTTCCTTTCCGATTATAATTTCTGGTTTTTTCTTTCTGTTCTTATTTTTTAGCATTCAATTTCATAAAACTTTTTATTTTATTTTATTTTTGTTTTTGGATCGACCACGGTTGCACTCAAACCTTTTAGGATTCTCGAAGTCCAGCTTGGGAGCGACTGCCATTGTGGATGAAACAATAAAGAATGTTAATTAAAAATATACAATTTGTTTTGGGACTTGAGAAAATGAAGTAGCATTTTTCTAAGGTTGTCCTGTATATTTTTGGTAGCTCCAAATTTTCTAAAATGTTAGTTTTTTTTTAAAATCTCTCTCTCTCTCTTTTTTTTTAGAGCAGGAAATGTCGGAAAATCAACTTCATCTTGCCGGAAATCAGATCAGACTTCCGAATAGCTTGTTGGATGCATTGTAAGAATATATTCTTTACATTCTTTGCTTAGTAAATAATGATTTGGCGGAAAAGGCCGAGAGGAGTGGGAAGAGGTGAAACGGTCAAATCACGTATTATCTATCATTTTTAGCTCATCTGCATTTGGAAACTGTTACTTTCTTAGCAAAGTTCCATATGTGATGCTACTACAAAATGCTACAGATTAATAACAATTTTTTTTTAGAAATTTTATAATTCATCATTTCAAAGATAGGAAAAGTGTTCGAATTATCCTCCCCCCCCAAAAAAAACTCCTTGTAAAATGTTCAACTATTTTAGGTGCTATAAAACGATGGAATTTGCGAAGCACTGAAGTCTGGCCCACATTCGAATTCATTCAAGAAGGAACTGGAGATTTATATATAAAATCAAACAAAACGCAATAGTTAGTTCTGACAGACTTATAGGGTTTAGAAGAACGGTTTTCGATAAAATTAACCTCGTATTGTTAGACGAGTCATTATGGGATACAATTGGCGATCAGCCAAGCGGTTGGGTGTGGTGATTCTGCAAACCTCGAGGGCTTCTCTAAGAGGAGGATCCCGTGGAGGACTTTCTTAAGGAAGCTGGCCTCCCGTTACACATGGGGAAAACCACGAAAACGCCCATGCAGCCAGCCCGTTCGCGGGATTCGAACCTCGGACCGAACTACCAGGATCAGCAAGAAGGAAATTCTTCCTCAGTAAGAAGACAGAGGAAAATGCACCCAGTGTTTGCAAAATTCATGGAAGCAAAAATTCAACAAACTGGAACTGTGTTCTATTTTCAGATTACTTAAAATTTTATTTTAAATAAATTCAATGAGTGAATTACTTTTGTGGCAAAAACCGAATGAAAAATGGAATCCGAAAAGCGTATTGGCTAGAGTTAAGTGCGGGGAAGAAGGCACACAATGGTTTGGAGATATTTCATTCTTCTACAATAGGAAATTTAGATTTTATAGAAAGTAATATGGACCGATAAAATGATATAAATATCCTAATGAAAACTTGAATGCAAAAAATTAAGATTTATCAAGATAGAAAAAAATAATTTAACGTGGCATTTCTTGGAAAGCTCTTGTAAAAGCCATTCTTATGGAGGAATGGAACAAAACAAAACATTCTTAGACGAAAAAATTTATTTAATCGATGACAAAGCGGATGAAAATTCTAATTTTTGATAAAGGGTATCCAATGAAATGTTGAATGTCCCGTTATTTTCATGTTTTTATTAAACTGTTTATTCAAGTGTCAGAATATTTATGTAAGTTCATTTTCAGAACTTTTTAAGTAAATTATTTGTTTTTTACCAAAACTGTTTTGAATAGCATTTTCAAAATAAGCAGCTTTTAAACAAAAGATAATCAATATATAGGAAAGAAGAGTAAAGTTATTTCGCTAATATTTAGTAGTACACTTATGTTTTTAATTTTATTTGCAAATAAAATTAAAAACATAAGTGTGAAAAAAA